ACACTTAATTTGCCAGCAAATTTGGAAAACTCAACAGTGGCCACAGGATTGGAAAAGGTCAGTTTACATTCCAATTCCAAAGAAAGGCAATGCCAAAGAATGTTCAAACTATCGCACCATTGTACTCATTTCACATGCAAGTTATGCTTAAAATCCTACAAGCTAGACTCCAGCAGTATGTGGATCGAGAACTTCCAGAAGTACAGGCAGGATTTCGAAGAGGCAGAGGAACTACAGATCAAATTGCCAACATATGCTGTATCATGGAGAAAGCTAGGGAGTTCCAGAAAAACATCTACCTCTGCTTCATTGACTATGCTAAAGCCTTTGATTGTGTGGATCACAACAAATTTTGGCAAATTCTTAAAGAGATGGGAGTACCCGACCATCTTATTTGTCTCTTGAGAAACTTATATGCGGGTCAAGAAGCAACAGTGAGAACTGGACACGGAACCACTGATTGGTTCAAAATTGGAAAAGGAGTCCGGCAAGGCTGTATACTGTCGCCCTGCCTATTTAACTTATATGCAGAGCACATCATGAGAAAGGCAGGGCTAGATGAATCAAAAGTTGGAATTAAGATTGCCGGGAGAAATATCAACAACCTAAGATATGCAGATGATACCACTCTAATGGCAGAAAGTGAAGAGGAACTAAGATCCTCTTGATGCAGGTGAAGAAGGAGAGTGCAAAAGTTGGCATGAAACTCAACATTAAGGAAACCAAGATCATGGCATCTGGCCCTCTCAATTCCTGGCAAATAGATGGGGAAGAAATGGAGGTAGTGACAAATTTTATCTTCCTAGGCTCCAAGATCACCACAGATGCAGCCAAGAAATTAAAAGACGCTTGCTCCTGGGGAGGAAAACTATGGCAAATCTAGACAGCATACTAAAAAGCAGAGACATATCCTGTCAACAAAAGTATGTATAGTCAAGGCCATGGTTTTCCCAGTTGCAATTTATGGCTCTGAAAGTTGGACCATAAGAAAGGCTGAGCACAAAAGAATTGAGGCCTTTGAACTATGGTGCTGGAGAAGTCTCCTGCGAATCCCCCGGACTGCAAGGCAATCAAACTGGTCAGTCCTAGAGGAGATCAACTGTGACTTCTCTTTAGAAGGCCAGATCCTGAAGTTGAAACTCAAGTACTTTGGCCACCTAATGAGAAGGAAGTCTCACTGGAGAAGAGCCTAATGCTGGGAAAGATTAAGGGCAATAGAAGAAGGGGACAACAGAGAATGAGCTGGCTGGATGGAGTCACTGAAGCAGTAGGCATGAGCTTAAATGGACTCCAGAAGATGGTAGAGGACAGAAAGACCTGGAGGAACATTGTCCATGGGGTCATGATGGGTTGGACACGAGTTTGCAACTAACAACAACAATGTCATCTAGAATCATAATACAGTAGCCTCTAGAAAAATCAGGAATAACTTATCTAATATATTACTTGTCCTATGAGGGCATCTAGAGAAGATCTGCTAAACATCATGTGAGATAAGAGGAGATTAGAGAAGAGGGGGATCTTTTTGATGGTTTGCCTATACTATGGAATAAACTGCTGGCTCCTCCATCCTAATTGTCTTTTAAGAAAGATAAGTGATCATTATTTTTTAATAAATATTTAATATGTCTAGCCAGTGGTGGGATTCAGCCAGTTTGCACCAATTTGGCAGAACAGTAGGTAATTTTTTGTTGCCCAGGCCAGAATGGACTTCTGGAAGCGGCATACACACAGACAACTGGTTGTTCACATATTTGAATCTTACCATTGTGTCTAGTTTAGAATTATATTTTAATCTTTAATTAATGTAATTTATTAGATGGCTCTTCTATTATTGCTGAACACTGTTCAAAATTATAAGGTATCAGTAACTGTGGATTGTTTTGTGACTAGTGACTAGTTTTGTGGATTGTATTTATGAGAACGTGACATAAAATAATTTCTGAGCAGAAAGATAAAAGATTAGTTGAATGTTAAACCAGAAAAAATTGCTTTGCCAGCAAAAAAGTGTTTAAATTATATAAGTCTCTGTTCCTAATGGTACTGAGTACAGTTATGAAATTATACTCCTGCAGCTGCATTTGAAGCGTCATAATATAATGTGATTCTATTTCTAACTAAGTTACAATGAAAATACAAAGGAGAACACTGCAGTAAAACATTTGTGCTTAATTTAATTAATCAACAGATTAACGTTCTTACAAAATGGTAAGGTAGGATGATTGATAATCATATCATAGGTTATAGATGGAGCCATTCTTTGCTGTGACTCCAGAAGACCTAATTTAAATGATAAAACAATATGCCAAAGACCATATTAGAGGAACAGATATATTACAAAGTAAATAAACTATTGCGAATGAAAACAGGAGACATGAGAAATAGTTTAACAGAAAATAGACATTATCCTGTGAACCACCCACATTTGTCTTTAAGATGAGTGGCCATACAAATATTTTAAATAAATATCCCTTTTTATCCATGCAATAATCTTTTATCCTTATTTTTTCTTATTCTCTATAAACAATTGAATGGCTGGAATCTTATGATGACTTACATGCTTTGTTAATTACTTCCAACTTTGTGAGAAAATTACTATCCATACAAAATTAATATGCCATACTATTACTATGCCATACAAACTTTTTGTGGAAAGCAGACACATGAAATATTATTCTGAACTGATTCTTGTATCTCCAATTTTCTATAAACTTATATAAATGCACAAAGATTGGAAATAATTCCAAATGCAATAAAATCTAAAAGTAAAAATTCATAACATCTGTAATTGGTGGCAATCTCAGTTTTGCTATGTTAATCAACACCTGTAGTAGAACTGACAAGCCTTTGTATTTATTCAAGCAAAAATGAATGGAATCAAGACTTCATTAGTTCTGATTCATCTGGAGTTTCTTAATAAAATTTCTATTTTGGAGAATGTAACCTCAGGGTCAGCAATATACTATCTCTGAATATTGAAATATTCTGTCATTTCTTCCTGAATGTTGCAGTTGTTGACATGAGATCAGTTGTTGTTTGTTTATTTATTTTTCTACAGAGACTGATCTGCTTGTCCTCTGGAAAGGCAAAAATACATTGTTGGTTAGCTAGCGTATATTACGTTACAGGTTGAGAAGGTATTGAACAAGTTTAAAATATGTAGACTTAATTATTTTCATAGTAAATTAAATACATTTTTAAACTAAATTAATAAAATAGCTTAAATAGGTCTTTTTCAGGTTTATTATGTTTCTTACTACTCTTCAGTTTAATAGATTTTAATTAGCTTTTAAGTCTACATTTTAGTCTACATTTCCTTTTCAACTTCATCTTAGTTGATGAAGAAGAAATTAGATCCTAATCTTATTTTATGTCAATATCCGACTCTGATTCTGATTTCCAGGATGTTTCCAAGACTAATTGCTGAAGTTCTTCCAGTGAGATTTTTCCTGGAAGTCTTCTGGAATTTGCTCCCTGCTTGGATTTCAGTATAGTTGTACAACATGAATCCCATTTCTATCATCAAGTCTGATCTTCAGGTATTTTCTAAGATGTTGTTATGTGATACAAAGTCTTGGTCCTTCATCAGATCTTATTTCTTCACTGCTTAGTCATTACTTTACTCAGTCATTATTTTCCTCCAACTGTTGCCAGCTTGCTTCAGCATAATGGCCCCTCTTATGGTATTGGCTATTGAGGACTCCACAATGTAGTAGCTCCATAAGCAATTAGTTTCTGCCCCTATCTAGTGAAATTATAACTTCATTGAGAGGTTATGCAAAGAAAAGAAGTAAAATGCTTTTTAACAGAACATTTGATATTGGATGTAATCATTTGTATTTGATATAAATTGCAATAAGAGAAAAGAGAAACATGCACCACAAACCAGACACATGTGTATATTAGGCAGGAATAGATTATTTAATTTCCCTGGGCCTTGTATTGATTTGGTACTAGAGACCATTGGATCTTTAAGAGACCATTGTTTTTAATTTTGCCTCATTATTCATACCAGACTTTGATAGAGAAATCTATCTTAAGGTAGATAATTTTTAAGAGATAAAAGTTGTCCCCAATTAACCAAGTGCTCCAGACATTTAGGTGAGCTAGGCTTGTGTGTGGGAACAATTAGAAAATGGGTTATTGCTCATCACTGTGCATTCTCATAGCTAGAATACCTTTCCAATTTTGCATATTTAACCATTTCATATAATTTATTAAATATCCACAAGCAAAAAAATAAAACATAATCTTGTTTCTCCAGGAGATAGATGGTGATGTATCCCTTCCCCTCTGTTAGACAGAAATAAAGCCTTTTGAATGTCAAGTAATGACATGTAATGCATTCAGTGGTGGAGCAAGTATATTGAGTGGTTCAAACTCCATATTTAGATTTGAATAATTTTGATAGAAAAATTATGAAAGAAAGCATAAAGTCATGTTTTCGGCTACATTATAATCTAACCCATACTCAGATTGTAAAAATGAATAAGCTGAAACATTTCAGGAAAGCCGCCTCCTGGAAATAAAACACCTTTTCATGTATGTTGTTTCAAGAACTTGTCATGACTACAAGGGGAATAGATAAAGCTTTCCAACACAGCCCATAATGGGCAATAATACAGTAAGGAATGAAACTATAACATGCCAACAACTTATTTGCTTTTTCAGTGGACTCCCAATACTTTATTTTTCATGTACTCAGAGAGAAGCAAGTGGACCCACGTTTTTTTTTCCTTTGGCCTTCTTCATGTCATATAGGTTGGGGTGAAATAAGTGTTTCCAAATGGATAATCCCAAATGTACCAAGCAAAGTACATTATGTACGTACTGTATCTTGCCTTTTAAAATTTTAATTTTAGCAATAAAGAGAAAGGAAGCAGGGGAAGCAATATTGTCTGAACATAAATGACTTATAATATAATAAAAGATGTAGCTGAAATCTATGGATATTAATAAAAATTATATAGTGTTATTTTGTGGGGTTTTTTTTTTTTTAGGTCAAAAGATATGCTATGGTGACTCAGCACATCCCTGCTACAAGATTGCCTATTTCCAAGACATGTCTCGGCGTGTGGGTTTTCAAGAGGCTCGCCAAGCTTGTGAAATGGGAGGTGGAGTACTTCTCAGTTTTGAAAGTGAAACAGAACAGAAACTGATAGAAAGTATGCTGCAGAATCTCACAAAATCAGGGCCTGGGATTTCTGATGGAGACTTCTGGATTGGTCTATGGAGACAGGGACAAACTACATCTAGTGCCTGCCCTGATCTTTACAAATGGACAGATGGAAGCAGTTCTCTCTTCAGGTAAAAGCTCTTAATATTTTATCCCCAAACTTCTAGAAATAGAAGACTAAGACATATTCAGGTCCATGTTTCCAGTAGACAAGATATTCAGTATATGAGCTAAGAGCAATAAATCCCCTTCCAACTTGGGGATTGTGTTGAGATGTCACATATTTTCTCATTCTTCCATTATCTTGGTTTTATCAGATAGTTATGCATTTAATAGTCTATTTTTCTATTGCCTCCCCACACCAGCATGGATTTTTTTTATCATTATCTGTAGGCCTTGTACCATTCTTTTCCATTCTGCCTTGTTCATATAGAGTTCATTATAGTGTTATTGAGATGATAGGTAGTATCCTACCAAGAGTTGCCCATGAAATAGTGGATGTATTGGAATGTGATTTTTGGTCTCACTTCTTCCTGAATCTTGGATAACATATTTCTTTCCATATACTGCACTGTCATTCAATAATTTTTCCAAACATATTTTACAGAACATGTACTGTAGTTTTTCCTTCCATTATGGGTTTGAATGCCAACAATTTCCATTTAGTTTTTTGTTTTGTAAAACGTTAGTACAAATAGATCTTTGCTGCAACTTATACTTATTTGGCATGGAAAAATCTAACAAAGGAGTTGCACAAAGCCCAACTTCTTACTAACTTAGGAATGTGGAAAAACTGAGAGGAAGAAAAAAACCTATTTAAATATTATTCTATTCAATAGAATAATAAAGATTCAAAAGTTATATTTTGCATTTGTTATGTTTCTGCTTTATAGAAATTGGTATACTGATGAGCCTTCCTGTGGGAGTGAAGCTTGTGTTGTGATGTATCATCAGCCATCTGCAAATCCAGGTTTAGGAGGGCCTTATCTTTATCAATGGAATGACGACAGATGTAATATGAAGCACAATTTCATCTGCAAGTATAAGTCAGGTAGGGCTGTTAAACCAGGTTCTTGATGCAATTTTTACTTTTGAATCACAGATAAATCAATAGTGGTACTTTCCTTGTAATTGGGATTCAGAACCAAGGGAGAAGTCCCTGATTAGTATAGTTTACTATTAAATAATGTTACAGTCTTTGTGTTTGTCTTCTGCATTTTTCATACTGATGACATTTAAACTGCTAAATCATTTAGTGCAATAGCAATCTAATAGATTTTTACAGGTCTGATATTGAGCTATAGAAGTTCAGATAAATTCACCTAAGTAGTCTCATAACTTGGTCAGGCAATATGTTCAAAATAATAACCAAGTAAAATCAATGTGCTTCATAAAATATTTGTGTAAAAGAATGTTTTTAGTTCATGTCCCCATAATTCTGTTCTATTATATACAGTATAGTTCATATATACATCTTTCACTGTTTTTACTTTTGGATATTCTATGAAAATAGGACACATATATATTACAGGATCTTTGAAATAAGAATGGGATAAAAATAGAAAATATTTTTTTAAACTTCTGGATCTTGTTTTTTCCTAAATCTCATTCCATGAAATACAGTGCTGCACATTCATGTTTCAATGAGTCTTCCACAATTTAGTGCCTCTTGAGGCTTAAAAATTACAGCAACAAGTCCAGTTCATCTGAAAAATGAACTGAAAGAGTATTCAATTTGCTTTTCCAAATGGAAGTAGACTAGGAAAGGTTAGTTATAAAGACTGAAAAAAGTTTATTAAAGTTATTTTTGATGTTATGTACAAAACAGTAAAAATAATGTTTTTAATTGTTTCTTATTGATTTAACAGAAGATATCCTAGAAAAAGAATCAGGAGACAGAACAGATCCACATCATGGTAAGAACATTTTGGACAGAACTGCGGTGTTGAGAGATGAAATCTGAATTATTTTTTAAATCAAAATAGATTTAAAAAGCAGGCTAAATTGAAACATCTTAACTACCATTACAATTCAGAAAAATATCCAACTGTGTGTTTTATAGCATATAGCTACCCTTTAGAATATTGCAGTTTTGATAACTTTTATTCCAGATGTGATCCCAATGTAGCAAAGAAACCTATAGCCAGAATTTATCGCCCACACTTGCTTTTAAAAATGATTAGCTGTAGATTTTTTTAATCTTTTAAAAGTACAATTACAAAAGCAGATGTAAAGATATAGAAAACAAGTTTACTGTACTTTCCTCCCCCAAAATTGCTTTTTCAGAAGTTCAAGCAACAGTGCCAGCCGTGAAGCCTAATGATTCAAGCAAGTCAGAAGATGACTTTCCATTGGTCGTTACTGAAACTGGTGGTAATTGATACGTTTAGTTTTTAGATCACATTTCAGAAGGCTATTTCGAAAGACCAATTAGATGCATTTAGCATTTTAAAGGAAAAATGATATAAATTTGAATTCAACAGAAAGTAAATTGTAGCGAGATAAGGAATTTTAAGTATAATTTTTTGGAAATGCCAGCTGAATATGAATGCAGGAGAAATGGACAGCAATAAAAACAAAATCCAATAAAATGTTGGCATGTGAACAAACTTGAAATTTGTATTTTTCCAATTAACATTTTTCTTAATTCAATTTTTACAAATGGTAGCTCATTAAATAAATAAATAAACAAACAAACAAACAAATAAATAAATAATGAAGTGGCTCTATTGGCCATGACAATAAGAGTATGCTGTTGTACCAAGTTTGCTCTTATACATTCGTGGAAACTTGGAATTCTCAAAGCTAGCATCTTAAAAATATGCAAAATTGCTGATTAATCACATGATAACTTTTATGCTTGGTACCATATGCTTGCATGGTGAATGTTTTGCCTCTCTAAGTCGTAGTGCATCTTCAGGATCAATAAGGAAGTAGCAAAATAAATAGTTGTGGCCAGAAAGATCTTTACACAGCTCCAACTGGTATACCAGCTATATCCTTTTCTGGATAAGGAAGCACAGAGGATCATTCATGCCTTTGTTATCTCAGGCTTGACTCTTATCATATGCTATACATGGGTCTGCCCTCAAAGGCTACTTGGAGCTTCAACTGGTCCATAATGCTATGGGTATGCCTTGGCATGCCTACGTTACACCACTGTTTTGAAAGCTGTACTAATTATCAGTAAGATTCAAGTGTGATTCAAGTTGCTGGTTATGACTTATAATGTTGTTCAGGTGGGGATAGCTCTAACCCTAGCTCCTGTGGTGTGGGATGGGTTCAGATTTTTGACTGCTTGTCTTTAATATCTATGTGAAACTCCTGGGGGAGGTCATTCAATGGCATGATGTGCTGCATCATTAGTATGTCAATTACTATCAAGTTATACATCTATATTCTGGGTGATGTGCTGCAGCGCATGGATACCATGAAGCTTTGGGAAGAAACTGGCTCCAATTTAACCCTGGCAAGATAGAGTGGCTTTGGGTTTTTAGTACCCCAGGTTCTGGTGATATATCATCTTTGACTCAAGATTGGGTGGCACAGAGTTGGCACACAGTTTGAGGTCTTTCTAGACCACATGTCGGCAACCTGCGGCTCCGGAGCCGCATGCGGCTCTTTGAGCCTTCCCCTGTGGCTCCCAGCCTCCTCTGCCTTTGCAGAGAGAGACAGAGAGAGGCAATTTCGCTTCGCTTCTCTCTCTCTCTCTCTCTCTCTCTCTCTCTCTCTCTCTCTCTCTGTGTGTGTGTGTGTGTGTGTAAAAAAAAGAGAGTGCACTCACAGTGTTATCCGAGGAGCTGAAAAGCTTACTGGGTGGAGCTCCTCCCTTTGCTGCGTCTCTGCAGGAAGCAGGAAGCAGGAAGGGCAGGAGAGAGCTAGCTAGCCTAGCTAGGCTGACTCAGGAATTCTGGGAGTTGAAGTCCATGAGTCATAAAAGAGACGAGGTTGCTTGTTGGACAACAGCTTGAAGCTTGCCAGGTGAGCAGCAGATAGGAGAGGGGGGAGAAAGAGAGAAAGAGAGAGAGGGAGGGAGAGAGAGAGAGAGAGAGAGAGGAAAGAGAGAGAGAAAGAGAGTGGGGGAAGAGGAGTGGCAGACCAAGGGCAGATAGAGAGGGAGGGAGAGAGAGAGACAGAGAGAGACCCTTTTGACATCTAAAATGAAGATAACACTGCATATATCCTTTTTTACCTTTATTATGTGTGTGTGTGTGTTTGTGTGTTTGTGTGTGTTTGTGTATACATATATACACACACACATACATACACACACACAAACACACACACATACACAAACACACACACTGATAATAAAGGTAAAAAAGGATATATGCAGTGTTATCTTCATTTTAGATATCAAAATGGTTTTGTGGCTCCCAGTGTTTTGTTTTTGGTGGGAAACGGGTCCAAGTGGCTCTTTAAGTGTTTTGGGTTGCCTACCCCTGTTCTAGACTCACAGCTCCTGTTGAAAGAGGGGGCCTTCGCACAGATTTATCTTGTGTACTAATTGTATCCATTCTGGCTTTGGAGGCCTTGCTCTGGGTTGGAATTTTCATAATCCCTTTAATTAAAATTTGTCATCTATTAGGATACACGTTGTCAACTTTGTGATGGCATTTGCCATCTGGATTGAAGTTTCTATGATATTCATATGGCACCCACCCTGATGGCATTCCAGAAAGTTCTAACATCCTGGTTGTTCACCCAAGTATTAGGGTAGGGAAATCCTGTTGAATATGTTTGGGGTGTGAATGTTATTAGTGGTCTAACAATCTGTTCTTCTGTATTCCTTTTCTTATTCCTTTTCTTTTTATAACTTTTATTATATTTTCTATTTCATTTGGCTTTATTGATTCATTTTGGATTTGGTTGGTGCTAAATTGAATATATTGAATTGAATACATTAAATCTAGCTCTTTGTTCTTTAGTTGCTACATAATTGAGGTCAATTCTGGCCCATTTTCTAGTGAACTCTTCACCAATCTGCGTTCCACCCATGTTAAAAAAGTTCAACGAAGAAGAAATTTGCCTTATACTCTTATGTGCATATTGTTTAAGGAAATGATGATAGACCTCTTGCTTCCCCCCCCATTAGAAATATGGAAGCCTGAAAGTGGTTTTTAGGTATTTGTCAGCAATGATCTTTCCTTAAACTAAAGAGAGCAAAGTGATTATAAATTTTAAATGAAGTTATGATAATTAACATTGGGAAGACTTCTGCAGAATTGCATTCATGGTTTGCTATGCTCCATTACTATTGTCTACCATTTTTGTTGGCATTCTTACAACAGGCTTCCCAACCCCTTATGACTGATATGTAGAGGGATTCATTTAATTTGTAGAAAAATAGATAAAGAATCAAAATACAATTAAAAAGGCTGGGATTAAAATGAACTATAATGAATGAATGCTATAGATAAGGGAGTCAGAAGGAAAAGGATTATTTGGAGCAGATGAAGATAATAAGTCTAGCATGTAAATATATTCATGAATAAAAAATAAGATATTTGGGAAAGAAAGAGTCTTTCCAAATTTCTTAATGTACAGTGCATAGCATTTAAGGAACATTATTTATTAAACTGAATTCAAGTTGGCTCAGTTTGTAGCTATACATACTTAACAATCAAAACTATAAAGTTGGTTTCTACACTGTCTTTAAAATGTGTTCTCTGGCTGAAATGTTTAGATTAAAAAATGTGACTTTGAATGTACATCAAAACAAATTTCATATAAACCATGGAATTCTGTTCATGAAAAAAACATTGATTCATATGCTTTAAGACAGGTGTGTCTAACCGGTGGCCTGTGGCCTATAATGTGGGCCCAAAAGATTGTAAACCTTTAACATTATTATGTGTTTTATACACATTAAATATACGGTATTATATATTTTATATATGGGCCAAGGCAATTTCTCTTCATCAATGCCTAGATAAATGAAAAGGTTTTAAGATATACTTTATTCAGATTTTTGGTTATATGAGACATGGTGGTGTGGTGGTTAGAATGCAGTTTTGAGACATGGTGGTGTGGTGGTTAGAATGCAGTTTTGCAGGCTAACTCAGCTCACTGCCAGGAACTCAATCCTGATGGGCAGAAGGTTGACTCAGCCTTTCATCCTTTTGTGGTTAGTAAAATGAGGGCCTATATTTTTGGAAGCAATATGCTGACTCTGTAAATTGCTTAGAGAGTGTGTAAAGCAGTGGTTCTCAACCTTTTTAATGCCGCGACCCCCAACCGATCGTAAGTTGAGGACTACTCAACCGGTCGTAAGTCGAGGACTACTCAACTGGTGCAGCACCGTTTGCAGAATGGGACTTTTGGCAGGCTCAGCAGGGCAGAGACAGCCTGGACAATTCTTATTGGCTTTTGAAAGCCAATAGAATTAGACTCTATTCAAGAGAGTCTATTCTATTGGCTTTCAAAAGCCAACAGAATAAAAGGGAGTAGCACAGCTAAGGAAAAGGGAAAAAAATGGCGGACTGCGTTGTTTGGCGACCCCCGTGAAATGGTCATTTGACCCCAAATGGGGTCCTGACCCACAGGTTGAGAACCACTGGTGTAAAGCATTATGAAGTGGTATATAAGTCTGAATGCTTTTTTTTATTCCACTGGTGGATGAATTGCTAGAATAAGCAATGTTAAGATATATTTTGCAACTTTCTCTTAGTTGTATATTATAGGGGAATATCATTTTTGCCATTAGTGTTAGAAGGCTTTGAAGAAATTTCAGGATGAAAAGATTTAGTTACATACATACATACATACATACATACATACATACATACATATTAAAGTATAATAATATTCTTTCTTTTTGTAGGTCTAATTCCTAATTTAATTTATGTTGTTATACCAACCATACCGCTGTTGTTGTTGATATTAGTGGCTTTTGGGACTTGCTGTTTCCAGATGCTTCATAAAAGGTAATTCAGTGTTTTATCAAACATGACAATTTGTATCTGTGATTTATGTTCTTTGGAATACATGTGTACATCAGCCACTTACTCCTATTCAAGTCCAGTCTACATAACATACAAGACTATCCATCCTGAATGACATCCATCATATTGCATAGTGCATGTACTGTGAAAAAGAATGTATTTAAAAATGTAGCCACCTACTCAAAGATAAAACATGCAGTATATATAGAGGGAGCAAGTTGTGGCCCTGTCATAGATCAAATAGTATTGTTAAACCAATATAGGTAAGCTTGTTGCTTCTGTATAACTTCATTAGAAAGTTAACATTTCAGGTTAACATCAAAATTAAGATACAGGCTTTGCAATATGAACCATAATATGCTCTATTATATATTCTGCTTTAAGCAAAAGCAATTATGCATAATAGTATTTCCTGCTTTGAAAATATTCAAAGAAACCATTTTCCAAAGATGGATCAGTTCATTTTCCACCCCCTCTTGGAATATTATAGTCATTGTTCATTTTGTATTGTGAAGTGGGAATGCTGTTACAGAAGAAAGAGTTGAACAATGCTCCCAGTATGGAAGTTTCTAGCCACTTATTTTCATAATATTTAATCTTACTTGATTGTAGTATTTCCCAATTTTTGTGGCAGTGTAGGACCTGTCAAATATATTGTAAGTGGCAAGGTCCTAAAGCAAACAATAAAAAGTCAAGGGCATCTACTTAGTCCAAAAACTTCACCAGATATCTTGTTAGAACTTCCTTCCACAATCTTCTGGGGTATTTATGTAATCAGTTTGCAAACTGTTCCCCAAAACAACAATGGTGGTCAGGAAGGATGCATATAAATAATATGCATATAAATCATCATTACCATATATATTACTCTCTGCCAGGGGTGTATGATGTACAGTCAGAAACTAGGATAAAAAACACAGGAGAACTAATGAAATGTTATAAGGGGAAGGAGCTGATACAAAAATTGTTGGTTTTATTTCCTCCAGAAAATGCAGCAAAGAATTTTCTCTTGCCTCCCAAATGTGTGATGTGTTAGTGAGGAGTTATGGAAGTTAAATCCAATATTTAGAAAGAATAGGTTACCAAAACTGAAAAAAATATTTGGTTAATACGAGGAAATCTATATCAGACATGCAGATATTAACCCATAATATTAAGAACCAAGCATTTCTTCTGTGCTTTATGGCAAACCATTCATGCTTAGAGGCTTTCCCTTTCTTTCTTCTAGGGAAGCAAGGAGAAACTGCTTCAGTGATTCATCTCCATTATCATCTGAATCCCTTACAGAACATTTAGATTCTAACTTGGTACATTGCTCATTTCTAAGGTCATCTTCTGATTCTATTTTGAAGGTAGAATGTCAGTGCCTAAGCTACCCAGTATTCTTCTAAAAAATTAAAAACATCGATTACTTTGAGCTTTGACAGTCTTGAAATTACGATAAACTCTATAAACTCATAGGAAGTTAGCAGTGTTCCTACTGAACAAATAGTTTGGGGAATATGTTTTTGCCACATTTGTTCAGAGAAAATCCTTTAAAATCAGCAGCAACATTAATAACTTTATTTGGCTTCCTTCCATGCTGCTGTAATATTTAAAACAACCATTTTGAATGCCTTTTCAGAAGAAAAATGGGAAGCAAATCAAATGAATCATCATCATCAGCAGCAGCATCATGATCCAAAAGGCAAATGATTGCAACCTATCACAAATTTGCCACTGAGTTGCAATTGTTAATGTGAAAGAAGTAAAAGTTTTAAATATACAAAGAATAATAAATGTTATTTTCTATCCTGCCCTTCTTTGGGGAAAACAGTCCATGGCACATCATTCAAAATGCAGCCCTCACTGTCAAAAAGCTTGCAATTTTTGTTCAAAGATGGCATTAAAAGAGTAATTTAATTCAATATGGAATAGAGCAGAGCAGAGCAGAGTAGAGCTGGAAGGGACCTTGGAGATTTTCTAATCCAGCCCTCTGCTCAAGCAGGAGAACCTATACCATCTCAAACAAATAACTGTCTAGCCTCTTCTTAAAAATCTCCAGTGATGGAGTGCCCACAATTTCTGAAGGCAAGCATTTCCACTGGTTAATTGTCCTCATGTTAGGAAGTTTCTTCTTAATTCCAGGTTGCTTCTCTCTTTGATCAGTTTCCAACCATTGTTTCTTGTCCTGCCCTTTGGTGCTTTGGTGAATAATGTGACCCTCTCTTCTTGGTGGCAGCCCTTCAAATACTGGAATACTGCTATCATGTCTCCCCTATTTCTTCTTTTCTTTAGACTAGCCAAACCCAAGTCCTGCAGCCATTCTTCGTATGTTTTAGTTTCCAGGCCTTTGATCATCTTAATTGTTCTTCTCTGAATTTTTTCCAAACTCTCAACAACTTTTCCAGGTGTGGTCCTACTAGGGTTTTATAAAGTGGTATTAATATTTCACGTGATCTTGATTCTATGCCTCTGCTTATTCAACCCAGGATTGTATTAGCTTTTTTGGCGGCAGCTGCACACTGTTGGCTCATAGTCAAGTGATCATCCACTAGGACTCCAAGGTCCCTCTCACAGTTGCTGTTTTAAAACCTAATCTGTACTTATACCTTTGATTTTTCTTGCCTAAATGTAAAACTTTGCTTTTCTCCACATTGAAACTCATTTTATTAGATAGGGCCCATTGTTCAAGTTTGTCAAGATCTTTTTGGATCCTAAATTTGTCTTCTGGGGGTGTTGGCTACTCCTGCCAGTTTAGTGTCATCTGCACATTTGATGAGTTCCCCTTCAATTCCCTCATCTAAATCATTGATGAAGATATTGAAGAGTACTGGGCCTAAGACAGAACTTTGTGGTATCCCACTTACTTACTTCTCTCCATGTGGATGTGGTTGAGGACTATTTGTTGAGTACGGTTTGCCAGCGAGCTACAGATCCATCTGGTGGGGATGTTGTCTATTCTACCTTTTTCTAGCTTACCAAGGAGTAGGTTGCGGTCTACTTTATCAAATGCCTTACTGAAATCTAAGTATACTACATCCATTCACTGGTCTACTAGTTTAGTCACTTTATCAAAGAATGAAATAAGATTGGTTGGCATGATCTTTTTTTAACAAACCAGTGCTGGCTACTAGTTATAACTTTGTTTGCTTCTAGTTTGTTCGAAGATCTGTTTTTTGATGATCTTTTCTAGGCTCTTCCAAGGTATTGATGGTAAACTGATTGGTCTGTAGTTTCCTGGGTCCGTGTTTTTTTCCTTTCTTGAAGATGGGAACCACATCAGCCCCTTTCCAATCCTCAGGTATTTCCCCAGTGCTCCAGGATTTTTGAAAGATACGGTACAATGTTTCTGAGATAACATCTGCCAGCTCCTTCAGAACTCTGGGATGTAGTCTGTCGGGTCCCGGTGTTTTATATTCGTCAAGGTTGGATAAGTGTTCTCTTATCATTTTCCTGCTTATTTTAATTTTTGTTTCTAGTTTGTCTTTTACAATGGGTTTTTTTGGTATGTTGTGCTGTAGTTTCTTTTTGTGTGAAGACTGATGCAAAGAATGAGTTAAGCAGCTCTGCTTTCTCCCTGTTGTCTATTATTTCCTTGCCATCCTCTCTCTTTAGTGGACTTATAGTTTCCTTAACTTTTTTCTTGTTGTTAATATATTGGAAGAAACTTTTTTTTTATTATCCTTGATTTCTATTGCAAGTCTTTGTTTGTTCTGAGCCTTTGCTTTCCTGACTTCATCTTTGCATGTTCTGGCTGTCTGCTGATAATTGGCCTTAGTTATGTGCCCCTCTTTCTGTGTTTTGTATTTGTCCTTTTTCTCTTTCAGTTTATCACAGAGATCTTTGTGCAGCCATGCTGGTTTCTTCTTGAATTTCTTGTTTTTTTTTTTTTCAGTGGTATTGTGCTGGTTTGAGCTTTTATGATCACATTTTTCAAAGTTTCCCATGCTTTAGGATTTTCATCCATGGGATCTTTCCTAGGTTCTCTCTGAGTTTGCTAAAATTGACTCTTTTGAAGTTTAAGACACTGGTTGGATTGTTTAATATTGCTAGTGTTTGCATTATATTAAATTCCAGTATGACGTGGTCATTTCACCCAAGGTTCTGGCAACTTCAACTCCTTCTATTGCTTCTTCATTATTAGTAAACATTAAGTCCAGTATAGCTTTACATCTAGTTCCCTCCTTTACCTCTTGGATGACAAAGTTGTCAGCTAAGTTGGTAGGAATCTGTTTGATCTCCCACTCGCTGCAGAGTTTGTCTCCCAGTTGATATCTGGATAGTTGAAGTCTCCCATTACTACTGTGGTATGCTTCCTACATACATTTGTTAACTGGTTGATAGAGTTCATCTATTTCTTCTGATTGGTTGGGTGGCTTGTAATATACACCCATGGCAATGTCACTTTTTTTCTCTTTTATATTGACCCATATACATTGTTTTATGCTTTAATTATACTAATGCAGAAGTTGGCACTAAGTTGGTATGCCAATTGGTACAGGCCTTGAGTGTTAAATATTGCATAGGACTTATAGGCTGCTTGGCTTCCTTCCTTAAGTCTAAGATCAGTTTTCGGTTACATGTATATAGTGCTTTTGAACCAGGGTAAATGAAACAATATATCTAATACAAACATTCAGGTATTTTTACAATTTATTCTTTACCACCCTCCCTTATTGCAGAGTTCCTAGTTGAATATGTGAAATTATGTGCACCAAATGTATAGCCATGCATTTGTGTTTTTAATTTTTCAGTAAAGGAAGAACAAAAACCAGTCCTGATCAGTCAACATTGTGGATTTCTAAGCACCCAAGAAAGGACAGTAACCTGGAAGTATAAAGAATTGGCTGAAAAGAAAAGAGGAATGATACTTTTCAGGATCTCTTAAATTTGTCTTGTCAAACATTAATTTGGAATGGCTTGAAATTGCAACTGATCAACAGAATGAAGTGGAAGCTCCCCCTTGGGGCAATTGCTTGGATTAATTTTTTTAATACATGGTGTTTGGTTTTTAATCCCATAGCAAACATAGCTGTCTAAAAGAAAGTAAGAATATGATTATTTTGCTAAGGAAAGTAATTTGGCTACAGCTACTAATGAGACGGACAGAACATTTTGAATTCATTCTATGTATATTTGTAGAACAAATATTTCTCATTTAACTTTTAATGTTTATTGCTATTATTAATTACAATATATAGTATTGTATTATTTCTCACTAATGAATGGACTGTAATTCCAGCTAATATGAATTTACAATGTAATAAGATAATTTATCTTTGCATAAAAAAGCTACACTAGAACATGAGTGTAATCTCATATATGTAAAAATATTTATCAGTGTTATTCCTTTGAGTGATGAGATTTTTTTTAAGGCAAAGAAAATGATGCACAGTACTTGATTATTCTTTGCTATCATCTATTTTTGATAATGCTTGTCCAGTGTTAGCACAAATTATTCTACTCAGGTCATATTAATTAGTACAAAAAGAGCAGAATTAGTACATTCAATTCAATTCAATTCCCTGAAAACAAATTGAAATAGAAAGTAGCTTTTCCTATGTATGCTTTACTGTTGGAACAAGCAATGGCAGAAATGTATGATTGACAATTTATTCCATACAGGTATCTCGTTCTGTTCTGTTTTTGTTGTTCTTTTGTTTATAAAATCCTAGGAAAGAGAAGTCACCATGATGCCACTTAGAAATGCTATCTCTTAATCATTTCAGAATTATGAAATGTAAAGACTGTCATGAAGTTTTCCTTCCTTCCTTCCTTCCTTCCTTCCTTCCTTCCTTCCTTCCTTCCTTCCTTCCTTCCTTCCTTCCTTCCTTCCTTCCTAATCCCACTTCATGGTCCCTGAATGACAGAAGTTGATACCACTTCTATATAGTATTACCTTTTGCATACTTGAATATATAAAGAAATTGTGTGCAGGTTTTTTTTTAATAATTTCAAGATAAGAAAATAATGAAAGTAGAATTCAAAGCATTGAATATCTATCTTATAATATTTCCTTTAACACAAAGAATAGCTTCCAAATATTTCCTGCAGCCAGTTAAGAGGTTTTTTTTTATTCTTTTGAAAATTTTGTTTGTATAGTCCAGATTTGAAGTCCTCAAAAATATTTGTGAAACTGCCTCAAAATTGCTCTGATCTACAAAACAAATCCTCAGTATGGCATTGTTTATATAACACACTCACTCACTCACACACACACATACACATACTCTATGAGTTTGTAAATAACTGCATACAATTCTATATTCAGAATCTGTAAATAACTGCATACAAATAGTAAGCGTGCATTCAGATTTGCAAAAGATGCCATTTCCAACTTTGCATCATAAAGCAGTTATATCAATTTGATCTAGCATGCCTCACTTATGCATACAATGCTATTGAAAAATATTCCTTATCCTAATGATTCTGTTTAAATTAAAGACTTCCAGGAAATACCAGGGCTGTAGGATAGACTTGTAAGTAAAAAAGTATTCCCTTGCCCCACTTCTCCCCTCAAAAAAATAAAAGACAATAGCAAATTGCTTCCATACTGTTGCCAAGAAAATGACATTGAGATATCTATGATATCACCAAAAGCTGAGTTTGATGCTATTGTGCTGATCATTTCCTAAAAATAAGAAAATCATGCTGGGATTTTTTTTTGTCTCCTTGGCCAATATGGAAACATATGTTAACAGCAGAAGTATTTGTACATTAGCAGCAATGGACTAACTAAAGCATACATATTGGAGCTATTCTCATTTCTCTGTACCAACATTCTGTGATTTGCAGATATAAATGACAAAATGCTTCTATTGAAAACAATGGTATTTTCAGATATATAAATTCAGTTTAGTGAGACCTGATGTGTGATAAATGCTTCATTTCCTGCAGTTTTCAAGAGAAAAACTGAGGATTGTTTTAAGAAAAAAACTCTTAGAATTATGAGTTATAAATTGAGAGCTAATTGAGAGCATTAACCATGCAGAATGGTTAATGTGTCATAATCAAATGATTTATAATTTTATTACTATTATATTAGTGACTATTGATACTATTTTATGTGTAAACTGAAAGTTTTCTCATTACATGGATAAGTTTACAGTAGCTGTTTCTGAATTTGCAATATTTCTTATCTCAGTTCAGTTTAATGTTATTTAAAATACAGAAATGTCTTGAACGCATTCTGACAGTATGATTTAAAATAGGGAATGAAATAGGTACATACATGATTTCACAAAAATAGTATAAAAGCATATCCGTTGATTTCAAAAGAAAGCTTTTTTATAGTTATGGGTTATTTTTCAAACATTCCATCTTATAGTAAGATGCAGTACTTGTTTAGTTATTCTATCAGGCAGTGCAGGAAAAATATCTAAAATTAATTAAATTGAGAATAGAAAGTTACTTACTTGATTCAAATAATTTGATCCATAGTATTTTCTAGCTCATTTGACTAGACATGAGAGTTTCATAAATACTGCTAAACAGTACTGTATCCTGAATTTTTGCATAAACTATACATACACTTTGCATTGATTTCTTTCCTAATAAACTGAGTTAATAGGAATAATCAGGGAGGTGTAGGACTGAGGTTTTCTGATTGGAACCTTAGTAATGACACATATACCGAAATATCATTACTATTTGAAAAAAAACAGTCATTTAAAAATCTTTTAAAGAAAAACAATATTTAAATGGATTGACAGCCTATCTGCAGTAGACTCTGTATAAGAATTTAATTCATGATGTCATCTGTCTTGGAAAATTATTAAAACTGCTCTTCTCAGTAAATTTAAAGGCACAGTTTTACTGAGGGTTGTACTTTTAACAAATCAGTATGTTATCTGAGTTACCCTTGTCTTTTCTTATTCAAGCATTAAGAGAGTAGCTGGTAGAAAAATATTGCAACTTCTGTGTGAGTGTCAGTGAAACTTCAAAGATTTGTTCAGATCACTTCTAACACAAACTTGGCCATAATTTGAATGATAAATTTTTACCTGATTCTACCAAACTTTATTATATAGATGCTATAATCACAGTCTTTCTTTTTCAATCCTATATTTCTAGTTAATAATTAATGGTACGTTTTATCCAGTCTACAAATTTGAAAACGTTTACATAAATTCCAGGGCGATTTGGAAGGGCACACTTGTAGCCAAAGGATGTTACACCAGCTAAAAACCACTTTTTGTTCTCTTGACACATCAGAGGTCCACCAGAATCTCCCTGAAATGAGAAAGAAAAATGAAAATATTGTTACTGTTAATAACACTATTACTATGATCTTAACTGTTTAATAAGATGACTGTCAGTTTTATATAATATTTCTGCAAGCTTCTCTATAAGTCATAAGTTTAAATGAAATGTACTGGGCCTGTGTAAAAGTTATGTCATGATGCTTATATAAGTATTGGAGAAAGAAATGCCTTTCATAAGGATCCTTTACCCAACCTGCTAACCATGGGCATGAAATGCTGTAGTAATCACACGGAGAGAAATTTATCACCCTGAGCTTTCAACCATAATTTGTTGCTCTGTTCAAAAAATGATGTCTATTACTTGTGCCTATATGGACTTGGCCATTTTGTTTCTTTGCTGTTATATCAACTCAATCTGCACAATTTATGCACTTCTGTTAATTGCTTACAAGAATGGTGGCATGGCCCATTCCCTCTGGTCAATACTTACTGCTCTCTGTAGCATTTTTGGGGGACATCTACATCTGAGGAGAAGGACACATCCACAGAAGCCTTTAGTCCCTTGGTGTTGTATAAAATTAGCATTTTATAATGCTAATAACAGGGATTAAATAGGTGATTTTTTAAAATAATTTCTGAAACGCTACTTATAGCTGATCAAGAAGAACTAGTGAGCTATTGGATTTCAATAGTAGACCAGGGTTTTTTGAACAGGTTCTTGGATGGACCAGTGAAATTTTGAATGAACCTTCATTCCTTCTCCACCTTTCTCCCTTGTTAAGTTGACAATAGTACTACTATTTTTTCCTTTTAACCAAACGGATTAGAAAAAAGATAATATTTTTCCTGATGCCATACTTGGAGATATGCCATATGGAAAAGACTTAAGCATAAGCAACTGAGGGGAAGAGAATCAAGGTAGCAGGACTCATGCAAAATGTCTACCAGTGAAAACTACACAATCTCAAAGACACACTTCTCCATGGAAAGGAAAGTGATGGCTTCCTTTTCAACATATGCAGAAAGTTTAAAGAGCAGGGGAATCCATTAATAGGTAACTATTATCCAGACAGAACACCTGGCTAATAATATTGCTAAGTTTGAATAATGGATTTGACCAGTGCACAGTACATTGGCTTTGATAACAGTACTTGTAATAATGATATTTTTATTATTTCTAAATGTTCAGCATACTTTCTTCAAACTAATTCAAAGTAACATACAGTGGTAAATGAAAACAGAACAGTAGCAGTGATATAATTATGATAAAAACATCTCTCATAGTACTACTTTTTATCTCATTGCTATCTATATAAAAAGCTTGCATTATAAAAAAGAACCAGAAAAAGTGATGAATAATTTATTGACTGTTCTATAACAATGCAAACACTGTTACCATTTACCTGGCAGGAATCAATTCCACCTTTGTCATACCCAGCACATATCATGTTTTCAGTAATATTGTACTCAGGCATCAGTTCCTTGCATTTCTGATGTGTTATAAGAGGGACTTCTGCTTCTTGCAATATACTTGAAATTGAATCTATTTGAAAACCAGAAATATATGCTGTATATTGTTGTAACGGATAAAATGATAATATCACGTAAGTCAAATAATATACAGTATTTAGTCATTCCTATACTGTATGACTTACCTTCAGAGCAGGCCTATGCAAGGCCTATTGGGTTTTCATTGTCAAAAAGCTACATCTCATGGAAGCAATATGGCTCTCTTACCACTTCACCTTCCAGCTCAAACTTCCATTTGCAAGAAATGGAAAAGGTTTCCATGCAGTTCTCCAAGCAGCACTTCCAGGAACTGCCTGGAAGTATCAGATGGAGCTTCTATTCATGCACAGTACAATACAGTTGTAATACTGCAGAACACAATTCACTACAGATGTAAACAAAATCCATAGTGGATTATAGGAGCAGATTAATGAAAGTTCACAGAATGGCACAGATAAGAAGCTCCTACAGAGTTTTCTGTCTTTCAACTTGTTCCAGCAACTGCTCCTCCTTCTCACTTATCTATTTTTGCTTTTCAAGATCAAAAAGTTATTAGTTCTAAAAATGTGCTTGATTAGGTGGTGTGACATTCTATCCTGACTTATAGGGTTGACCTTTGAATTTATAATTACAGAGAATCATATTACTAGAAAAGAGAACTAAGTATCTGTTCCCACTTCTGCTTTTTTAATAGAAAATCTCTAGCATCCAGTGTTTCTGACATAAGTACGCTCCAGCTGGAAGAATAGAATAGCTGGCGGTTGTGGCATCCTTAAAGTGAACAGATTGATTATGGCATAGATACATTGTCTATAATTTTTAGTCTCTGCACCCATGTGTGTAGTAACAACAGAGCACAACATTTCGTGCATCACTGTATTCCTTTAATGAGGTATGCTCTAGTCCATTACCATTTATGCCATAATAAATCTAGTCTCAAAAGTGCTGCATGATGCTTGTTCTAACCTTATTTATTAGTACTTTTCAATATTGTTCTGCAAATGACATTTATTGTGCATGGTCAATTTGATGGCTTGGGACTAAAGTGACATTATGTGTATTTTTCATATTATGCTATAGTTTGAGTTCATTGATCCCAATTTAGAAAAGTTTCAGTGCTTTGCAACTGCAAAATAAATATATGTGTTATTAACTGCAAATTCTACTAGATGGCCAAGGAATATGCTATAGGGAAGATCTGTGCATAACTGAAAAACAACTATTTTAAGGCATTGCACTATGTTTAGCTGCATTCTTTGACATTTTTTTTGCTAAATTTAAAGCCACTTGGGGGTACCAAGGATTACCTTTTTACATGTTTCTATGTTTCCTGCAATTACTTTCATAATTTGAGGCCATGTTCCATGTTCCTTGGCTATGTGTGGTGTGAATTGCAATTATGAATAATGAATAAGGACTTCTTAGTGGTGGCTTCCATTATTTGAAATGTATTTCTAGTCTAAATTTAATTTATTGTCAATAATATGTATTCTTTATGTAGGTCACTTAATATCTGGTTATTCAAGATGCTTTTATTAAAATAAATGAATTTTCTATAGTAATTTGTTTTAATCCTACTTATCTTCATTTTCTGTTTAATCATAAAAAACTGCTTTTGTGTGGGAATCTTTTACCTCTTTATAATTAGTTTATCATTTAATTATGTGAGAGGTCAACAATTTCAATGGTTTTCCTTTTGTCCTTTTACTGTGATACTCTGTGCAACATTTAAAAAAAAACAAATCCAAATTTGTTTTTGGAAAAAAAGAAACACTTATGTACATTTTCCCAACCATTACTTTGTATGGAAAATTAAGACAAAGCTTCAATAGATCTGTTTCATAAAATGTACTCTAATATTATGACAGTGGATACATCTGAAAGAGAAATGTTTTTATACTCCAAGATATAGTGATTGCATCAGGAAAATATAATAAAATGATGAAATAGAGAGTGCCTCCATGATTTAACAGTACAGTGACATACCTTCCGGTGTGGTTTTTCCCCAGCCAGCAATAGAGCATTTAGTTCCTGGCAAAAATTGTTTATTTTTTTCTGGGAAGCAAATGGGCTGAATATAATCTGTATGAAAGAAATAAACAATTATATCTGCACTCTCCAGTCTTTGATGATAACATTGCATAAATTGTTTTGCTGAAAAATAAACCCCAAAGAAATTTTGCAGGATTACCACTTTTATTATGATGATTATTGGCAATGATACTGTAATTTTTAAAATATTTTTTAGATTTAGATCCTAATCTGTTAATAATACAAAGGCAAAGCTGCAGCAGAAAATCATTTTACCTGTGTAATTCACTCTAAATTGGAGATGCATCAAAGCAATGTCACTATCTTTTGTTCGCTTATTATAGTGAGGATTGATGATAATCTGATCAATCTCTCGGCTCACTGTTTGAGGATATGATAGATTGAGATTCGTATGCAGGCCAAGAACTGCTTTCCACTGAGATGGTTTTAAATTTCTCCTAAGTCAAAATAATACATGCTTTAATAATAGTTTGAAATAGCTTGTGAGGTGTAATTTTTGAATAGTTTAACATTTGAACCATATTAACACTATATATTCAAACACAACTTTTACTGATTTCAGTACCACTGGGAATCAGGATAGACTTATACCAAATCTCTAGATGTTCCACAATCTCTTTGCATCGGTCATTTATGCTGGAGACCAAACTTTTAAGGATTGTCAAATTACTCATTACTGTCTTATATCTAATGTTCCCAAAATTATGGCAACTAGAGAGTAAGTTTTTGTAAAAGACTTAAAATTAGAAATTATTTTTGATCAGTTCTCATAAAATGAATGAGGAGCCTATTTCTCCTTTCAACCGTGTAACAGTCCAATAGTAGCAATATTCTATTTTATTTCATCTATCTTATATGTCACTAGCATAATATATTTAAGACAATATATACTGATCATAGGGAAATAATATGCATTATATTAAAATAGATGTATGCTGACTCAATATTAAGAACTACAGTTTATCAATATTGAACTTTATCCATTTCACATATTCCTTTTTAGAAGTTTTAAAATAGGCAAAACTCAAATTATATGTGAAATTGCTTAGATATGCTACCAGCATTATTAAGTCAGACTTCTTCAAGTCAAGCTTCATTCCAAAAGGTTTTATTGTCATGTCCATCTATGTTTCTTATCAGCAGTATGGAAGTCCATGATTTTTTTTATGTCTCAGTGTAGCTGCAATTTCTTAAGGATCTCTTCTCCATCTATTAATTAGATCTGAACATTTTTTCAAATTAGCCAATGTTTCTTAGATGATACTACTTGCTGTGAAATCAAAATATTTACCACATTTAATAAGGGACATATTTTTTTAACAAAATCTATAATGTTTGTAATACACTGCAGAATTTAACAAAATATACATTAAAGAAACCACATTAATTTGTGGACATAGGCATCATATGTTTGAAAATTGTTTCCAAGTTTATTTCTTCATGTTCATTTATATTACTGTATTGAAACACATTGCATCCTTAGGGAGATAATGTCTCACAATGTGGTGAGTAAGCATAAGAGAAGAATAAGATGAGCTGTTTGATTATGAAAAATGTCTCTTATTATTGAGCAATGATATGCCAGCAGTGATGTAGCTGAAACAGTGCAGAAATCTGATACATATGCAACAAGTTAGCACTGAAAAGAGAGGAGCTAATGGTCTTTGTTAGGACAGGAACAGCTTAGATTATAATATAGAATCATACAAGCATCATAGAAAATGTTATCTCAAGTTTGAGTAGCATTGTTGCTGATAATAAATATTGCAAATTCTTATGAAACTAAATATGAACAATTTATTATTCATATTTACTTAGATTTGTTTCATATGAATGGTTAAGATGCATTTCCTAAAAGACACTCTTTAATCACACATTGGCAACACTTCAGAGGAATACAAATGATTATATTTAAAATGGAACACTTAGGCTAGTATAGTGTTAAATCATTCTTGATGTACTTATAACTGTGTTGTAACTAATGAGATGTAAGGTTGAGAGTAATTGAAGAATTACCACCCTTGGATTCCATTTTTAGTAATGAAATGCTTTGAATATATTAGTTACATTACGAGAAAAAGTTCACATTTTAATATGCTGTAGACAGCTTCTGCAATGCATAATATGAACATTGCTAATGAGCCAAGAAAATTTTCCAGCCAACTCCCAATTAATGTTTTAAAAGCATTAGGAGTAATATTTCTTATATCTCTAATATATATATATATATATATATATATATATATATATATATATATTCAAAAGATAAAAACGAGCACCAGGAGGTAAAACAATTAAAAGTTTAATAAATAAATAACCTAGCTTTCGATGGCTATATTGCTGCCATCATCGTCAGGGTGTTAAAAGCCAGAGGGTGGGGGAGCTCGAAAGCTAGGTTATTTATTTATTAAACTTTTAATTGTTTTACCTCCTGGTGCTTGTTTTTATCTTTTGAATATGTATACACCCAGGAGACTACGTTCCTCAATTTTTATGTTAATTTTATATATATATATATATATATATATATATACAGGTCTTGGCGTATTCAGATCTTTTCCCGTGTAAGATTGAGAGTATCTTGGCGACGTTTCGATGAGGTCCCACTCATCATCTTCAGGCTGGGGTCTTCGGCTTCGTGCTTGTGCGAGCAAAGTGATAAGCACGTGCTCGCACAAGCATGAAGCCAAAGACCCCAGCCTGAAGATGATGACTGGGACCTCGTTGAAACGTCACCAAGATACTCTCAATCTTACACGGGAAAAGACCCGAATAGACCAAGACCTGCATACCTGTACCCGTGAAAATCTACGAATATATATACATATATATATATATATATATATATATATATATATATATATATTCCATGAAGTTCCATGAAACTCTTCTAATCTAGATCTCTTGTTATAAATGTTAAATATTCTATTAATTCAACATACTTGCATATACCAGAACTGATTATCACATAGGATTGTTGTTATTGACGGAAAAATAGGAGGAGGAGGAAGAAGCATTAGGTATATTCATCACCTTGAGTTGCCTATAAAGGCAAGATAAAAATCTAATATGATTATTTGATTACTGTTATAAGAATCTGATAATTAGATACAAGCAAATAAGACCATTAGCATAATCTGAAATGTGAACAAGAATAATTACAGTATTTAAAGAAAGGACTGGTGCAGATACTTCTTTTCATGTAATGGTACCTCATCTAGTTTGTAAAAATCAGTATACTATCACATGACAGCAAAGAAATATATAATAATCCAACTCTTGGCTGTTTTTTCATAGTGCTGCATATTTTTGCAGCTCAGATGTGATAATAATGGATTTTAGTGAATAACTATTATTCATCGTTCTGATGCCTTTCTTAAGCACTTTTAAGGTAAAATCTTTTTTATGAAAGGCATTTTTTATTCATGTTGTACATTTTGGGAAAATATATGGTGGTATATTTATTAATAATAGTAGTAATTCAAGTGAACTCTACACTGAATTGACTGATATAACAAGATTGAATATGATTCCTGTGCATCCCCCTTCCTGTGCATCTCTCTATTATAATATCACATACGATACTGTACTTACATTATTAGAGATACAAGGGCTATATGTACCTTGTCTCTACTTGATCTTTTAACTCTTCATGAAAGATCATATACATTCTGACATACAAAAAAAAAATTAAGAACATATGAAGATATGGAGCATAAGAACTGTTGAATTCTGGAAATAGTTACCCATATACACAATGTGCAGCTGAGAGTAGCCATTCATTGTTGATAAGAGAAGCTCCACAAGTTGGCCTGTAATTGAAATATAGTGAGACTATCCAAGGCCAAGCACCTTCTTGAGCATCAGAACCACCAACAATTCTTGGTCTAGATTTCTGGGTAATCATTTTTTCCCCACAAGCTATGAGTAAGGAAAATAAAAGGTGAAAAGTCTGCATTCCGAGGAATAATCAGATATGCTATTTTCGCCTACACTGTAATAGAGTTTTGAATATTTTCTTGAATAAGACAGTCCTTGACTTACAACAGTTCATTTAGTGACCAAAGTTACAATGACATTAAAAAAGTGACTTAAGACCATTTTTCACACTTATGACCACGGTGCTACAGCATTCCCATGGTCATGTGATCAAAATTTGGACATTTGGCAAGTGACTCATATTTATGACAATTGCAGTAATGTAATCATGTAATTTTGCAACCTTCTGACAAGCAAAGTTAATGGGGAGTCTAAATTCACTTAACAACCATGTTGCTAACTTAACAACTGCAGTGATTCACTTAACAATTATGGCAAGAAAGGTTGTAAAATGGGGCAAAATTCACTTAACAAATGTCTCACTTAGCAGTATAAATTTTGGGTTCAGTTGTGGTCATAAGTCAAGGAGTATTTATATATAAAACTTTTTCTAAGGTAAGTATAGAAATATATGGAGATCGCCATGTGTTAAAATATATTTAAGCCCATACCTATATGGATAGATATAATGCTCACAGTAACATTTTTGGTAAATATTTATGACACTTAAGCTTTAACATTGAAGTCTTCTCATAACTCAACACTATCACTTAACTTTTGGAATTATTTTAAGATGATATATTTAGTTGACCATGTATTATTTTCTGTGAAAACTATTACTGGGTTGGACTTCCGGTGGCGACGGCCGTGGCGATGGCAGCTTTCTTCAGCCGTCTGCCCTGGGATGTGTGAAAGCCAGTTGAGACAGCGAGCAACAGCTGTCTCGTGGCTTGGAACCTCTCTCCCCAGGCGAAGGCAAGGAGGTGAGCTTTCCTCAGATAGTGGTGGAGCTCCCTGAGGTCCCAAAGTTTTCTTTTTTGGTGGTCAGAGGGTGAGCTCCCACGGAGTCTGAGGTGTTCTCCACATTCCAGGATGCCTTTGCCCTGATTTTTCCAGGGCAAAGTTAGACGCTGCTTCCACATCTGCGCTTAAAATGAACTTGTGAGTAAAATTTAAAGCAGACAGAGCTGACCAGGAGAGACTAAAATGGGGATTATTTCGGACTTTAACTCTGGAAAAGAACTTATCTTCTCCTTCCTTTAATTAAGAGTGGTGAAAAATGGCGCTGAGATGTTGATTCATTGACCATGTATTAGGACCGGAACTTCTACTTGGAACAATGTAACAGATTTTGTATTTGTATAAATTGCAAGAATCTTCTTTTTTTCTTTTAAGGGGGCTTTTGTCTTTTTTCCCCTTCTCCTTTTTTCTTTTTTTTGGGGGGGGGGGTATTTGTTGATTTTATAAGATTTTAGCAGACTTTTTACAAGTGGCTTCAAAGCGTCTCGAAGCTTCTGTTGCTTCTAAAGCCTCAATCTTCCCAGTAATGCAGACAGCTCAGCAAGCTAAGTCTAAGTTTCCACTACCTTCTCCATTGTCTCCAACATGTATACTTAAAGATTTACAGGAAGTCTTGGAAAAAAAGGCACGACAGATTAAAGAAAAGATGGAGGTTTTTATTGAAAATAAATTCATGAAATTGACAGAGGACAGAGCGTTTGCGTTTCAAAAGTTTGTTGGTTGCATAGATCTTCTGGATGAGCGTATTGATGTTGTTGTGGAAAATCTTGAAAAACTGGAAGATCGAATTGTCAAAGTGGAAAATAATGTGGAAATAATACAGGATGAAGTTACTATGTTACAATACAAAAACATGGAATTTGCTTTAAGAATAAGGGGAATGAAGGAAAATATTCAAGAGGATTTGAGACAAGTGGTGGTAAAAGATATAGCTCTTATTTTGGGGGCTGAGCTTGAAGAAATATTGAGAGAGACGGAAAAAGTTTTTAGGGTTAATTCTAGGGTTGCGAGACAAAGGAATTTGCCTCGAGATGTGGTTATCCATTTTTCTAGGAGATCACTTCGTAATGAAATTTTACAGGCTTTTTATAAGCAGAGATTTCAAACTGCAGCTCAAGATGTTATAATTTTAAAAGAAATACCTTCAAAAATTCTTAGAAAAAGAAAGGATTTTGCTTTTTTGGTTGATGAGCTCAAAAAACGCCAGGTTCGATTCAGATGGGATATACCAGTTGGAATAGTCCTGAATTATGCGGGGATATATTATAGACTTGATACAATGTCAAAGGCAAAAGATTTTTATATTTCGGTTTTGAAGGTGGGTTCTCCATTATCTTTACGACCTGAGATAATAGAAGAAAAGTTGGAAGAGCAGCTGGTTGAAAGTGCTATCCTATTGGGTGTGGGAGACAAACAGGCTGAACCTTTGCAGCAGTCTCTTGAGACAGAAGATTTTTTTAAAGGAACCGAGAATGATTCGTGCAGCCTATAGATGTAAATTAAAAGAACTGCAGAAGATGGTTGGAATAAAGAAAAGGAAATGATGAACTTTTGTAGTAGTTTTTTGAGATAGAAGATGTTTTAAAGGAAAAGTGAACGATTTGTATTTAGTATGTTTTAAAGCAGTGGTTCTCAACCTGTGGGTCGGGACCCCATTTGGGGTTGAACGACCATTTCATGGGGGTCGCCAAACCATGCTGTCCGCCATTTTTTCCCTTTTCCCTAGCTGTCCTACTCCCTCTTATTGGTGGCCACACCCACTTGGCCACACCCCTGGGGGTCACCACAACACGGGGAACTGTATTATGGGGTCACGGCATTAGAAAGGTTGAGAATCACTGTTTTAAAGGAACAGTGAATGATTTGTGTAGTATGTAGATGTGAAGTAAAAGAATAATAGAAGGAGTTGATTTAGTGGAAAAGTTTAAATATTTGGGAGTATATATATTATACATTCTTAATTTAAAGTGAAATATAATTATGAGATATTATGGGTAAATGTGTAAAAGAATTCAAAATTTTAATGATCTCTGTTGGTGAGAATTTTAGAAGATGAATGGTTTGCTGAAACTTTTTAAGTAGAAGGGTATTAATAGACTTTCTTAGGGGTAAAAAGCAAAGAGCCAATTTTATTGAATGTAAGTTTGTTGGTTAGGTTATATTGGAGGGAAAATTCTGTGTTTATTATGGACGAATGGTTGTTTAAAAGAAATATACACCTCAGCGAGGTGAAGATGGATAAATTATAGGTAGAGTAAATATGGGTTATCATATGGGTTTAAAATTATGCAGATATGAATTATTTATAGTTTTTAATTTGGAAATGCTTATATTGTTAATTTTTTCCCCTTTTTTGTATTTGAGCTAAAGTATATTATCGATTTTATTATTTGTATAGTTGGATTTGTAACCCTGTAACCAGCTCTGGGAAGTGAGGGGGGGAGGGAGGGAAGGGGTTATTTTAGGGGGGGGATATTGTTTAAAACTTGTATAAAACTTTTCAATAAAAAAAAAGAAAACTATTACTGGGTAAATAATATTTTTGTTATAAATTGTTTCTGTTGTTATTGCAATTCCTATTCATTAATAGAAAAGGTATTGCTTAAGAAATTCAAGATATTAGAAAAAGTGAAAATTATCATAGTAAGGTGAAAATTTTTTGAGGGAATTTACAGATATCCTGACTTTCATTGTATAATCAACACTACAGCAATTTTTGTCCTCCTTGTTTTACATAGTTCAATAACTTCACATTTAAACCATTCTTATGAAACAATGAAATAAAGAGCTTTGTAAGATAAACAATATCAATATACCTTCTGAAATAATTTAAAACTATTTAGAATCAAAAACATCAAAGAAATATTATCAAGTTCAAAATATTCTAATATGAAATAATAAATAGTTGCACAGTTTAGCAACAATGAAAGGTTGTAGTAAACTTGCTCTATTAAATAGATCTGGATTTTTGTCTAGTTGAGCAGTGGCCGGCTATTATAGCAGCAGCATGAAAATATGCAACAAAATCTGATTCTTCCTCTCACCTCCTTCCGACACTAAATGCTACCTACATTTTTATCATATTAATACATTTAGAAATACATAAAGTGGTGGGGTAAAATAGTGCAACAATACTATATTCTCAAAAATATAAATTCTGAATAAATTCTAAAGGATTCTAAAAATAACATGAGAAATATTTTTTTAGCAGACTGACACAATGTAAACAGAAAATAATGTATTGGGAAAAACATAAACAGTTACTCTTTTATGTTGATTTTTTTCATTTTTCATAAACTTACATTTACCACTGCATTGCAAATGAATCACCAAATTATTCAAACACTTTACCCTGGAAAGAGAGCATATTTAACACAAATCAGATAATAAAGTCCAAACATAAAGAATGTGTATTTTTTTATCAAAGGCTATATTTTGTTTATCAATAATACAATTTGTAAAGCTCTGCAAATAATCTAAAATATAATTTGACTTCTCTATGGTTATGAATGGTTTTTTTTTAAAAAGCCAATCATTTCCAATATAGTTCTCTATAATAATTAATCCTAAGAAAGGATAAATTGTAGAATTTTCTGCCTGATAATAATCTATCATTTTACATGTTTGTTTCTATGATCAGTTTTTAAAAATCAGCTTGATGAGTGAGAAAATGGTTATCAGTAGCAAACAATGATGTCAAAATGCTAACATATGCACAACTGCATGATGATGTTATGACAATTGACAAAAGAATATAAACCTCATGAATTGTGCTTTGATGTCATGACATGCATTGCTCTTTGCCTTTCCATAGATGCCAGTAGAAAAATCAATCAGAAGCATTTAGATCAGAGGTGTCCAGCCTTGGCAATTTTAGGACTTGTGGACTTCCATGCTGGCTGGAAGTCCAATGAAAGATTGGACGTGACTAATGAAAGATTCTAAGACATTTGAAAACTTACAGAGATTGTGAGCTCCCGTAATTCCCCAGTCAGCGTGGAAGTCCACAAGTTCTAAAGTTGCCAAGCTTGGATATCTCTGATTTAGGTAATCCAGAGAAATAAATCTTTAGCCCTCTAGATCAGGATTTCTCAACCACAGCAACTTTAAGATGTGTGGACTTCAACTCAATTTTAGTAGATGTGATGTTCCAAAGCTTGTTGGGATAAAGAAGCATGGAAACGATTAAGAAAATATGACTTGAAAAGAAATACGTAATCTTTGGATCAGATTGACTCCAGCATTTCTGAGATTCAATTGCTTAAATAATGTTTTTTAAAAGAACTACACACGCTCTTTTTGTTAATACCTCAGAGATCTGCACTGTTTCCTTGTGTTCCATGGATTAAAAAAAAAAAAAACACAGATCAAGTCTCTGAGTTGCATAGGTGACTTAATGTTCATAATTATACAATTTTATGATTACAACTCAAAATGGTTTGCCATTATCTTGAGAAGGTTTTTCTTTTTTCTTTTTAATCTAGCCTCGTGTTCTGGCATCCTATTTGGGTTAGTACTTCTTAGCTTTTGATCCCAGTCAAAATCAGTCATCTACAACCACTTCCTATGACACCATAGATTAACTTCAGTTAGACATTGAATCAAATTCATTTGTTTATTTTTAGCATATAAAACTTTAATGACAGGATATGTTCTATACAGCCTTCTATTATTATACATGCATTATTACTATGATTAAGCAATGACTCCTATTGCAGGGCTGTGAGCTGTGATCCCATAGAGAAATTTTTGATGATGGAACCTGCACTTTGGAATAATCTCCCTCATTTTAGGGTCACCCACCATTATACTATTTAGGTACTTAAGACCTATTGTTGTCCTGTGCAAATAATACTTTTTCTCCCACATCCACCATTTTAATGTAACATGTTTTATATTAATGATTACTGTTTTATTATTGTTTTCAATTTTGATTGTAAACAATATATAATATTTTTAAATAAATACATGCTTATAAATACAATGATTGAAATAAATACTGATGCAAAAATGAATTCTTGATGTATATAATGGATTGCTTAATTCAAGCACAAATGAGACTAACAATAATTTGTGCTACTTTTATTACAAGTAAATATTAACTCTGTTTATTTCTTTATGGTTTAAATATTAAGTTATTACATGCCACTATCCAATCTTCAAGTCTTAGGTGCTTTTAATTCACTTTAAACTGTTCAATACCAATAAATATGCCTAGCTTTAGAACTTTTATTTTACCAAATTGATTATAAAACTAAATTTCTAGTTTCTATTAGATTTCTGGAATGGCTAAGACAGTGCTTCTCAAATAGTGGGGCGCGCCCCCAGGGGGGGCGCGAGGCTCCGTAAAGGGGGGCTCGTTTGACCTTGGCAAATACTGTCATATTGGATTTCTAGATCGGATCATCCGACTCACTCGCAAGCGGCAGCCCGACGCGGAGGACAACATGACCGCCAACGCACGTGACACATGCAAAGGACCCGATTGGATAGACATGATGCTCTATCCTGATTGGCCAAACCCGCCCGTGTGACTTTTAGACCTGGAAATCGGTCCTCTGTACAGAAAAAAATTTTTTACAGTCACGCGGGGGGCGCGAAATGTTTTCTTCTTCCTAGGGGGGCATGACAGAAAATAATTGAGAAGCACTGGGCTAAGAGAACAAAAACAAAATAAAGGTGCATATAGAGACATAAACTCAATCTGTAACATATTTTCATTCAATGGCTGGGCTTATCAAAATAATTTTTCTCTATGGGAATGAAATGAATTTGCAGTTCTATTGTTTGTAAGAAATGCACCTGACAGAAATGCCTTCTCCAATCAAGTGCTACCCGTTTCTCAAGTGTCTCTCCCTCCATTTTTTTCTTTCAAAAACTTTATATTGGAGGGAAAGTTGAAAACAGAAAATATATGCAAAGTTTTTTTGATGAAATTGTTTTAAAATATGCCCTGTCACCACTGCTTAAATAAAATAACAATTAAAAAGTATACTCCTATATATACTGTATCCCAAATACTAAATTAATACAACATAGAACAGTAGAATTGGAAGGGACTTTGGAAATCTTTAATCCAACCCCTTGCTCAACAGAAATCTTAAATTTGCCAACTCTTCATATGTCAAGTTAGATGGCAACACATAATTGATTTGGCTGATCTAAAAAAATCTAAGCAGGATCTACTCTGGCAGTGATTGTTAGGAAATCCAAGGGTTGGTGTTTAGATGGAGAAGTAGGTACTGGGTATAGGAAAGCCTTTGCAGAAAAAGGGAAATGGCAAACAGATTCCATATTGTTGCCATATCCATAGTTACCTGCACTCAAGATTGACCTAAGAGAAGTTCTATTACAACAACTGATTATTAATATCAGAATGTGAAGTGATTTCAACAATTATAGTTAATATCAGTGAGGGAACTGTTACTTTGACTTAAATGTTCATTTATTCTGTAAATGTTTGTTAGTTTATAGAGAAATCTCCATGCCGTTTGACAATTTTTAACTCATAAATAATGTCAGAATTAAGCAGTAAAAAAAGAAAAAGGAAAAAAAAATAGAAATTCCCCCTTAACACATTTTCAGTGATTTACTTATACTTACTTCATCATTTTTAACTGTCATTTATAAAGCCTTACCTTGGTTTTAGCATGAAGCTGTTGTTAGCTGCTTTTTTAACTTCTACAAATGGACCTGCCCCGGTATACAAGACAGGAGATGACTTGTTCCCAGTCCTGTAAGGAAAAACATTGCTTAAAATATATCCTTTAACTTATGATACAAAAATTGAAATTATTGTGCTATATTTTTGTGGTTTAACAAGATAAAGAAATTACTTCTTAAACATATTTCTTTAGCATATTTGGAAATGATCATTCTTATGAAGAAACTGAGCAATCAAAATATGCCAATACTTCTATTTACACAAGGAATCATAAAGAGAAACTTGGCATTTACTACAGTTTGGAACTTACTTTGGACTTGGGCTACAAACTTCCCAAACTGATAGCCAAAATAGAATTAGTCATTTGTTGATATTGTTCCCCATATACCAAGTTAAGAACTTGTATTTGTGAATCCACATGTCTAATCTAGACATGGAATTATTGTAGACATTTACATGTAGCCATTTACATGTGATTAAAATTCTGCATAATAATAAAACTGTACATGTGCTCAGAAATGAACACAAACATAATCTGTAAGCTTGGTTCCAATATAACAGTGCTGGTATGGGGATAGGGGAGAGAGCTATAGGGAGAGAATTGATATAATTTAGGACTTCATTTACCACTGTAATTAATCAATATTACTATATGTTAAAGTACTATATTTGGAATTTCATGTTCTATTGTTGCATATTGAAAATATAGACCAAATTCTATACTGAATGTTGAAATAAATTTAATAGAAGTCATTAAAAATTGATGGGATATCCTGGCATCCAGATAAAGCAACTATGAAAATACAAATGGTTAATAAACCTGTATTTGGAAGCTTCTTTTTCATTATCTTATTTTCTCCAGGTTTTTTTTGGTGAATGTGTTTGTTCTTAAAAATGTTATTGCCAGCATTATTGTTGCTGTTCTTATTTTTAAAAGAGATCCTTTATATAGTAGAAAAGGGGAAATTTCCAAGTTTTCAAAGATATTCTGGATTTGACATGTAAATTATGTTTAATAAACCTTCTGGAAGTTTATCCACTTATTTTATAAAATCTATATTTTCACTTACAGATTTAATATTAAAAGAGTAACATAAAAGCACAACTAAATGCATAATTTAATATACCTTATACTACAATAATAATAATAACATTCAGCATGTGCTGGTAAACAACCCAAATCATTATTTTTCCTGACTAAAGCGTAATCAAATTGGCATTAAGCAGACATGCCTTAGTCCTTGAAAAAAGTTTCTGCTTCTGGAAATGCCACTGGGAAAGCTAGGTACATTATACAGAACATTAGAGGTACAGATTTATACTTGCTCTTTCTTCCAAACCAGTATTATATCTGTCATATAAAGTATTAGTGGAAGAATTAGCTCTGAAATAAAAATATAATGAAAAACATTATTTACCCTAGTTTTAACAGATTGCAGATAGTGGTTGATGATGCTTCTGTCCACTCATTAGCACAGGCTGTATACCATTGCGTCTCAATTTTGTATTGAACTAACCCATTGGAGCTGAGAGAACCATTGATCAAGTGCACTATCATAAAAATAAGTTTTAATATTATAACACAGATTAAGGGTTATTTTTATTCATCACAAACTGCATGTGCTCAAGTTCAAATTTAGCAGATATGAAAAGGTATGATTTGAACATCTTCCTGTTTTTCCTTTCCACATCCAAATCAAATACTGTAATAAAACTAGATTTTGAAATGAACATTTTTTTTAAAAAAAGCATACACCATTTTCCTGTGTCACATTGATGTGTTTAGTGCTGATAGTTCCATAGTTTGTTCTTACATTATTTGGGATCCATCTAAACAGTGTATTTACTAATTGAGGATGCATGGACCTTTGGATGATGGACACCTAATATAGTATACATAGAAACACTTAGATAAACACCTTGGAAGAAGTCTTTAGTACTATAGATTAGTGTTCTCAACCTTAGCAACTTTAAAATGTATGGACTTTAACTTCTAGAATTTCCCAGTTAGCATGAGGTTGAGAAGCATTGCTCTAGATGTTCTTATGGTGACAGATAGTATATAGGCAGAAATTTATGGAGACTCTCAGTAATCCAGATCATAGTTATCCCAAATCTTCTTGGATGAGAAGGAAATGTCTTCAAAGAAAAACAAGAAAGTTCACTTGCCTCCTGAAAAAGCACCTTTGGGATAAGCAGAAATTGCATTAAATAACTTGCAGATTTCCCAAAAATCTGCACTGCTGATAGGGACCAATAAGGAACATTTTGAAAATCTGGCTTGATGAGACATATGACTGTATGTTTAAATGAGGGTTATATCTTTAACTCTTGGGTCTGAATGTTACAAATACTGCTATCCAACCATAACTCTATTGGATCTGAATGGAAAGTTTACTCCACATATTGCAATTCATGTATTTAACCTGCTAAGGAAATTTTTGCAAAATACTTCCAGTTTTTAAATATCATGTGCTTGGTGTGCTTTTATTAAGGATCGCTTATGAAAAGCAACAATAACGTTTTCTCTTTTTTCAACAAACATAGGAGGAGACAAAATGACAAGTGAAGATAAGATACCTGAAAAGGAATGTCTTAAGATTTTTGTACTAACAATTAAGATTTATCCAATGTGAGGCAAAGAACTATGTCTACAAATGTAGAAACATTGACAGTTCTCACAGACAATTAACTGTTACTGCTATCACTTTTTTTTACCAGCCCTCAGCATCATTTTATTATTGAATATGCATGTAAAACATTGTGCAGAATCTATTATTTTAGTTTATGTAAAACAGAGCTATGTACAGAACATTTAATTTTGCAAATAACTACCTCCACAGATGGTGCTGTGACAACAGCTGTCATTGTTGTCAAAGTAACCTGCATCTGTGTTGTGAAACAGTTGAAATGTGGCTCATCACATCTGTTTTATGCTCCTGTCAAACACTTTTACTGGGCTTATGTTTGGTTCTAAATTTCCTTGAAAAGAAGATTAAGAATGGGGTTTTTTTGATGTACTGAACAGAACATCTCTCTCTCTCTCTCTCTCTCTCTCTCTCTCTCTCTCTCTCTCTCTCTCTCTCTCTCTCTCTCTCTCTCTCTCTCTCTCTCTGTGTGTGTGTGTGTGTGTGTGTGTGTGTGTGTGTGTCTGTCTGTCTGTCTGTCTGCACTGACAGAAGCACCCTGCTCTTATGGGCATAAATCAGAATGAATATATTTTGGTACAGAATATTAGTTTGACATACTCACTTACTAGTATTTTCTATTTCACTTCATAGAAAAGGAGAGTGTTCCTCAGTGCTGATGATGTTATCTAATTCAAGTTCTGGGGTTCTGTAATCTCCCAGGATTTGAAATGGACACCTAACATTACAACCATTATTAAAAAGGCACAACAAAGAATGTTCTTCCTGCATCAATTCAGAAAGTTCAGACTGCCCCAGGAGCTGTTGATACAGTTCTACATAGGAATTATTGAGTCTGACATTTGTACTTCTATAACTGTCTGGTTTGGTACAGCAACTAGGCAGGACAGGTAGAGACTTGAATGGATAGTTAGAACTTCAGAAAAATCAATTGCAACTAACCTGTCTTCATAGAAGACTTGTAAATTGCACAGTTATTGCACATCTTGGACATAAACTGTTTCAATTCCTCCCCACAGGACACTGCTATAGGGGCACTGCATGCCAGAACAACTAGGCACAGGGACAGTTTTTTGCCTTGTGCAATCACTCTTCTGAACACCTAATCCTCATAGTGTTGTTTTATGTATAAATATATTTACCCATGTTGTATGGCTGTGGTATTATTATCCTTTTCATCTTCTCTACTACCCCCTTTTATTCGTTATATATTATTATTATTATTCTGTTGCTTTACATGTACATTGAGAGCTTCTGCACCGGACACAAATTCCTTCTGTATCTAATCATACTTGGCCAAATTCTATTCTATTCTATTCTATTCTAAAACAGGTAAAAGAAAACTGTGTACAAATTGTGTTTGTTTTCTAGTGAAACGGTTGGGTAGCCTCTTTTCAAAAAGACTATGTCCCTTCTCTAAAAGGGATCTATAACTCCTCAAAAATGTACTTAGCTTTCCTGCCCATTTTAAAATAGCAGTTTTCCAGCCTATGGTTGCTAGAATGTGTGGGTTTTTCTTTTTCTTTTTTATATTCTACTCTCTTATTCAAAGCTTCACCATTCATTCAAACAAAAAACATTTCTTTTCCTCTTTTACAATCAGAGCTCAGGATACATTTGGGATTTTATCTTTATATACAGCGGACTTGTGAAGCATGGTTATCACTTTGAAAATAGTTACCTTCCCTGAATTTGGGATTAGAAATTGTTTTGTTTATAAATATTTACCACAATCTGCTTCATCAGAATTATCTTTACAATGCTGGAATTGGTCACAAATCTGAGCCTGGGGTATACATTCTCCACTTCCACATTGAAAATAATTCAGTTCACATGTAGCTGTTAATGAAGAAGACATACATACTGTGGTCCATAAAAATTAGTGAATAAATCAGTGGTTTTAATGATTTTTATAATACAGAGCACATTTCTTATATCTCATGTATAGGGTATAATGTGTCATCTATCTTATACATTACTCCTGATACACGGTAGCCAGATAATTTCAAGAGTTGAACACTGAGAATAAATATGAACTGCAATTAATAAAGAATCTTTTTATAGGGACTATTCTAAAGGTCAATGATATTTGAGCCAATGATAACCCCAAAATTAACTATTTCTGTTGTTCTTCTTTGCACATAATTTGTAGTGAAGAAAAGTAGCCAGAAAGTTGCTTGAACTGTCCCCCATGCTGTTTGTCTCTGAAAAGCTATGTTCAAGAAATTTTGGAATTAGAAAAGCATATTTATGAAGTAAAGATTGGCAGGGTTCTCACACTGCTTTAAGCCATGCTTCATTTAATCATGATTTACTGAAAAACCATAACTGTCTCAATTGTACAATGCAGTATGCTCAATTGAAGAACTGTTCCACAGCTATTGCACAGGATGTATCATGCTGGAAGGAATTTAATGGGAACTACAGCCAAAAAAGGAAATTATTAATTTACTGCTTCCTTGTTGCAAATCATCCTACACCATAAAATAACAATGGGCTCCATTTTTTTATGGTTTTTAGTAAGTTTACCTTGAACATAGTTGCTTTAAAATGTTTGGTATATTGTTTTCTGCTTTCTTTTTTTTAATTTATAGAAACATGTTTTGATTAGGAAGGTATATCAATGCAGTAAAAGCAACCAATTAATCAATAAGTAATCACAATTATACTGCAGGTGAAAATTTACCACTGACTTGGACTGCAGGTATATAACATATAAAGTAAAACAAGAATGAATCAAAGAGAAGCTGTTGGAACTGATCAATATTTTTTTCTCTCTATTTTCTGTTTCCTATGTTTTTGTGTGGTATGTGGTATATAGGAAACTCACCTGGCATGCCAAGATGGTAACCTGTAGTAAAATTGGCTACAAATCCTTTTCTGGTTACAGATTTGTCCGTAATGAAGAGCACAGTCATTTGGTGAGTTGTAGAGAATATATCTGGCAATGGGGATTTTCCAGTATATACAGCTTCATAGTAAGGAAAAGTATATCATTACTCCAAAGACTAATATAATTTTATTACATATTAGAATGATAGAAAATAAAACAAGTATAGGACTGAAAAAGATCTTCTACTTTTTTCATCCATATTAACATGGATGATCTTCTAAGTTTAATCTAGGAAAAACAAATGAATCAACCAACACTGATTTAATCTTTAAATATTTTGATAAATACTAAACCTTAAATGTTCTTTATCCATATATGACAGTGGTGGCGAACCTATGGCATAGATGCCAGAGGCGGCACTCAGAGCTCTCTCTGTGGGCATGCACGCTGTCGCCCCAGTCCTAAGCCTTCAGCTGGGTTTTATAAAACCTTTTCGCTTTAGGCTTCCACTGCCGTGTGCAAAAAAAAAAAAAAAGGTTCAATCAATTAGTCAATTTCAACTTCTCGGGGAAAAAAATACTTGCAAAGTTGGAATTGATTGATTGAACATTTTAGTCCCACCCAGTCTGCTGTTACCACTGCAGCCACGCCCACCCAATGGCCACCCCACATGGGTCACCCCTCCAATGGGCCACACCCAGCCAATGGGCCAAGCCACCCGGCACTCGACAATGCGTAAGTGGGTTTTGAGTTGCAGTTTGGGCACTCAGTCTCTAAAAGGTTTGTCATCACTGATATGTGATATTGAATATAAATATGTACTTGCTTAATAATTTGGGCTGGGAAATTTATCCGGACTGGATCCAGTTTGTGTAATATATCAGAAAGACTGATTCTATGAGAGTTCTCTCTGATATGGCAAGAGTTTTTGTCATATCATATGGCAAATGACACAATGATGCAACAATAGATGAGAAAGAAAATATCCACACCAGAATCTTCTTAGTTTTCCCAATACTGCAGCTTTGTTAACTTTATTTAAATTATATCAATCAACATGAAAGTTTAATTATATGTATGAAAGTATATCACAATTTATCTACAATACTATTGTTATGAACATTTTTATGAATGAAAATGATATTGTCACATTCAACTTATGGGATTTACAGATTTCTGGAATTGTTAAAAATACTGTATACTATATATCTTTCACTGTATACTCTTTTTAAAAGTACAGCATAATTAGAGAAGTATTCCAATTCAGTATAATTTTTTCATACATATTGATATATTTTATATACTTGCCTAAAAATAAAGACTCAGCTCCTCTACCATCTCTGACTTCTACGACATCATAAATATCCTCCAAATTAAAATACTGGAAATGAAGTTGAATATTTTTTCCTTTTTCTGCATTCAAATACCATACACCTAGATTATGAATTTAAAAAGGATATGAAAGGATATCAAAAATACTAATTTGTTAATAGTTTCCCAAAAGAAGCAGGTTGCATAGTTAGTCATCATCATTTTTTAAATTAATATAATATATTAAAACACTTCCAATAACTCAAAGTATAATAGTATTACAACAATTTAATATTTCTGTTAACAATTCTCAATATGACATAGCCTTATGGGTAAGATAGACAACTTAGTATTTAAAAAGGCAATTTCAGGAAGATAACCTGAATTATTTAACCATTTAACCATTGATTGGATAGTTGGGCAGTGAATTAGTTGAGATTCTTCTTAGCATTTGCACCTTAAAAACATATTATGGGATTCCAAGTTCATCTGAGGCACAATGGCCACAACTAGCCAAAGATGTTGTTATTATCACCATTATTATGTTACTACTATTATTATTTCTCACTAATGCTGTGTTTATTCAAATCAGACTTCTTTAATATATTCTAAAAAAATAAATTAATTTTTATTAATATATTATTAATATATTCTTCACATTTTGAGCAAATTCAGTGGAGGGTGACTGGAAATGGTGTTTTGATTTTAAAAAATATTATTTTTAGTGCTTGATAGGAAAAGATGCAGAATGATGTGATTTTGATGAGCAGTCAGATAATCAAGGGATCAAGATTGGAGGCAGGTGATGCATGAGAGATGACACAGGTTGTTTTTCTGCCCACAGCTTTGGAATAGTTGTAGTTGTGTTATGATAAAAAATGGAGTAAGAAATTTCCCACTGTACAGAAACAGTAAGTGAAGTGAATAAAGGCTTTTTAAAAAGACTGGAAGCCATATATAGAGTTTTTTCTGAAAGAAAATATTTTTATACTTCTATTGTATGTATAATTCTGACAAATTTTAAAAAGGAGAAAGAGACACGAAGTGAAGTAAGATTGTATATCCTGAAGTAGAACAAAGGAAGTCTGACGTACCTAAGATCCTACTAGTGGTAAAGCTTTATAGAAGGGTTGTCCAACAGAGATTGACCAGTGGTTATTCATAGGTAGTGTTTGCATGTTAGAATGAAGTAAACAGGAGTGGGATTTCAGTGGGTTGCATAGTATAGGGTGGGATTGTTGCTCCTACTGAAATTAGGTCAGAGGAGGCTTAGCATAGAATTTAACAAAACTGTGGATTGTGATTGCCATAGGAATGGGTAATTGGGTGGACTGCCTAGGAAAAGTTTTGTAAAATTCTCTCTCTCTGGTCAAATTGCCTCTTTCCTGGAGCTAGACCATTGAATCACTTTGACTCCATTTTAATGCCAGATGTGTGGATAAAAAGAACGTATCCATTTACCATTTGTTTGTGGATATGATGAACTGCCTGTATTATTGAAGCTTAGTTAAATGAGAATGGGGATTTAGCTTTGTTCAAGGGTTGCTTTCTTAGGTTCTAGCTGCTACAACAGCTACCAGATAAAAAATGAGACATTATGAGATATTTCTTACAATTTTTACAGTAACATGTGCTCCTTCAAAAAGATCATAGAAAAGTATAATCTCTCTCTCTCTCTCTCTCTCTCTCTCTCTCTCTCTCTCTCTCTCTCTCTCTCTCTCTCTCTCTCTCTCTCTCTCTCTCTTTAAAAAAAAAGCTTTATTGAAAATTTATTGCTGAAGTCAAAAGCTTCTGATGAAGGTTTTCAATATGATCTTCATAAATTCTATTCATGGCCATACAGCATATGCCATATTTTAAACAAACTTGTCTAAAGTTTTGAAGACATTTTACTTACAAGACGCTTTACTGGGATAGTTGTTTGGGTAGTTTATTGAAGTAAATGTAGTGTTTGGTTCCCACAAATCATATGGACCTCCACAATCAGCTAGAAGAAATAAAGTAGATCAGAGATGGCAAACCATTGAGTTTTGGATAGCCAAAGAACTGCATAGGTCAATTGCTTATTGAATTAAAAATTAAGAAGCAATGATTTAACCCAAATCCTCATCCCTATATCTACATATATACTTTGGATGTCCTTATCTCATCTTTTGAATGCTTCTAATATGGGTGACAGGACTTATATATCATTTCTCCTATAAGTATTGGAAAATGTATGCACTCATGTCCTGATTTGCTGTTAAATATTTCCAAATTCAACAATATATAAATTCTGTTTGAGGAGGTGGCGAATCATCAGATCAGCTTGTTGGTGTACGATATTCTGCATATGTAGTTTACATTAAAAATGATCTATACTATTACATATATTTTGTAGTTGTATGAAAATTCTTTTATGTGACCAATATATAAAGGTCCCTTTTGTGAGCCTGCATGTCCGTATAGTATCCTTTTGTCTTTTATATAGTTTTATTGTGACAGATTAATTATTCTTGCCAATTGCCCTATTTGGTATTTCTTGGGACTCTAGAAGGAAAGTATGAATAAGATATTGCTACAATAAAGGACAGTCAGATGCAGATTTTTTAAAATACTATTTGAGTTTTTATTATACTAATGTGGGTTGCTAAATTCTTGTCATGATGGCCTCTAGGGACCATCATCCCAGTTAAGGACCAGTTGCCCACCATATCCTTATGTATATCCTCTCTCTCTCTCTCTCTCTCTCTCTCTCTCTCTCTCTCTCTATATATATATATATATATATATATATATATATATATATATATATATGTATGTCTTTGGTTATTTGGGTTTTCTCCCACGTAAAATTGATGTTTCAAAGAAGTCCCATTCGTCATCTTCAGGCTGGTGTTTTCGGCTTCGTGCTTCTAGGAGCAATGTGTGATCATAGCTGTTTCTTCCTTTTAACTGCCAGTGGGGGTATGAACTGATTGAGTGGGAGCTTGGCTATGTTCTGATTGGGTGGAGGTGTGTTGAATCCTTTGCACTCTCACACCACCACCCAGCACAGATCAACTCCATAGCCAAGACACTCATCTCCAGAACAAAACGCTTAGCTGATGAACAACACCTAAAAACAGAACTACACACTCTCACTAATGTACTAACATCCAACGGATTCCAAAGAAATAAGATTACCAACCTAATCCAAAAAGAAACCCCCACCAAAATCCAAGACAGAGAACAAGAAAACGGCAAAGCCCTCCTCCCATACATAAAAGGCACCTCAGACAGAATCAGCAAGATCCTCCACAAACACAACATGGACAGCATTCTGCACAAAGAGAAAAATATCCACCATCCTAAGAAACCCCAAAGACAAAATTGAGTTAGAAAATCAGGGAGTATATGAAATCCCATGCACCACTTGCCCCACCACATACATCAGACAAACCAACAGAAGAATAAGTGCATGCATTGAAAAACACAAGAACTCAGTCAAAAAAGAGAAACTAACTTCGTTGAAATGTCGGCAAGACACTTTCAATTTGACATGGGAGAAAATCCGAATAACCAAAGATCGATCTATCTATCTATCTATCTATCTATCTATCTATCTATCTATCTATCTATCTATCTATCTATCTATCTAATATTCCTAGCCTTATACAATTTTGTACATACGAGGGCAATTCGGAAATAAATCTCCATTTTGTTATCAATGACAGACACTCGCAGATACAGAATTTTTATTACACACATGAGAAAACTACAACATTACATTACTTTTTGACATTATTGCCATTCATATTGAGCACTTGTCATAATGTCTTACAAGGTTTGAAATTACTTAGTAATAGTTGCTCAGTGCCAAATCTGAAGGGATAATCAAAAACATCCCAACGGAACTGTTTCAAAAGTTCTTGGGTGCATTTAGTGGTGTGCACACAAGCATTATCGTGCACCAGTACCACACCGGAATCAGCATGCCCTGATGCTTTTTCTGGATGGCTTGTCTGAGTTTTTGTAACATTTCACATGATGGTTGAACCACGCTCCATGAACTTCACTAGCAGTACTCCTTTGGCCCCTTCACATTTGGCGGGATTTTCTATGACACCACTTCCAATAATGCTCATCTGCACACTGCTAGACATGCCCAAAATTTTTTGAAGCAGTTCCAGTTGGGATGTTTTTAATCATCCCCATAGCCCAGATTTGGCACTGAGCGACTACTACTAGGGAATTTCAAACCTTGTAAGAAGTTATGACAAGTGCCTCAATTTGAATAGTGATTATGTCAAAAAGTAATGTAATGTTGTAGTTTTCTAATGTATATAATAAAAGTTCTGTATCTGTGAGTATCTGTCATTGATAACCAAATGAAGGTTTATTTCCAAATTGCCCTTGTAGAATGTTATTTTACCTGGGAGACCAGTTATCACTGTATTCTTTGCATGGCCATTAAAAAACTTTGCTGCAGATTTTCAATTGTTTTGCTTCCTTATAGCTAAGGCTTTTCTCACAGCATTGATATTATAGGTACTTAGTGTTATAGTTGGATATATACGAGTTTCATTTAATGTCCTTCAGATGCCCATTATAACTGAGGCATGGTTTCAAATAAAATATTGTGAGCGGTAAAGTTATACTTTCTGATTGCAGCTCCTTGCTTTCAAAGTTTATATTTGCTCTTTGAAGATGCTATGATATGTTCTGATATGCAGCTGCTTTAGAACAGGTAATCCTTCAACTTAGCAGACATTTTGTAATTAAATACTTTGCTAAGACATTTTTTAATCAATGTACACAACATGCTTTATGAATCTGAAAAACTCTCCAACATTCCCAAAAATTTGGAACTCCAATTAAAGAAATGAACAGTTAATACAGAAAGTATGATAACTGTTGACTGTTGATGGAAAAATAACATAACATAAATCAGGTGTTTTTTTAAAAAAAAACTAGGGAAAGAGCTACATCATCTAATTATATCATTTCTAATATTTATGTATAATACTAAAAGTTATTATTAGCATTTCAGAATTAATAGCAACATGGAAACATCAAATGATATCTTTTTAAAATATACAAGAGGAAATTGGGTGTCTGCAAAAGAAAGCTAGTTATCTTAAGATATCTTAAAATGATCCTAGGGAAAAAATGAACCAGGGTCATGACACTAATGAGCCAAACAAAATTACTATACCAAATAGAATAGCTTATCATTATCTTAAAAAATGAGCTAAGTTTTAAGATAATTTTAAAGTATAATTTTACATTAAACAGCTCACTGAGCATGGCATCTTTTATTCTTGCTCTAACAAAATATATTAGCAGCAGTCGAGATACAGATGGGCTGAAAGAAGTACTTATAGGATCTGCCATTGTGCTTATAATGCTGCCATTAAATCTAATGATAATTTGACGAGTCTGGGTGGAACAGATTTTCTATTCTAATAGTGCTTCATGCAGCCAGTTATACCCTTTTATTAGACAACGTTGTTTCAGCTGCAGACCATCATGTAATGAAGATAGATTGAGAGTTGCTTATTCATTTCTACAATGAGGTCTAGCTGTAGAGCATTCAGCTTTAAAAACTCTGAAGTAACAAGCCAGAAGTGGGTGGAAGAATTTCAAGCTTTAGTGCTTTCAAAGAAGGTGCCGATATGTTGTTTCTGTATGTCTCAAGGTAACTTGTTTTCAGAAAAGCTGAATTTGATTTATAGGTAAATGTTGCAGGATCCAATCTGGGTTGGTCACTGGGACCAGAGGCTTCTCTTCCGAGTTTTTGGGCTTGTGCTGGAACCTATCTTCAGGGAACTGCTCTCTAGTTTCTTCCTTGCTAGAGAGAAGTTCCCTGAAGATGGGCTCAAGCACAAGTCCAAAACCTCTGGTCCTGGTGACTGACCCAGATTGGATCCTGCAACATTATCCTGGGATAAATATATTTGCCTTCATTCATGATAGGTAAATGTGTATGTTCTTAACATTTCCATTAAAAAAAAAAACTGATTAAAAATAGTGACAAAGATAAAATCAACCCTGTTAAATGTTTTGTGTTACAGATAGCAAACATGATATATCAAAGAATAAGCAGTTATAACATATATTGAGTACATTGCAAAAGTCTTTAGTTTTGTTTGACTTTAGTTTGTGATCCTAGACAAAGAACGGAGTGTGAGTAATCATGCTTTTTTTATTTGTTCTTCTATAGTACTATTATTTTTACCTCCAAAAAATAGCAACTAGAAGGCATGCACATGCAGACATGCTATACTTATATGTAAGAATGAAATGGGCTCTGAACTCTTGGATATTGTGTGGCTTGGCAATTATCACACTGCAAAAACAGAAACTAAGAGTATAACATAAGTATAACATGCAAGCTGCATGTTCGAGCATGTTCTAGCATCAATTTTGTGCAAAGGGAGGCCACAAAGAAAGATTTCTGAGGAATTAGTTTATTTTTCTAGTAATTGTAGATGAGACTGAGTGCATCCACCTTAGCAACAATGATCATACAGTCCTTATACAGAAAACTGTCCTTTAGATTTATTTAATTTTTTTTTGGTTTTGCTTCTGTAAAGCAAAGTTTAAACAAATCTGACTTCCTTCAGATTTGATATTTCTCAGATTCATCCCTTAGTTTTTCCAAAAAATATCATTACTATCACCACAGCAGCCATTTTGTGAAGAAACACAATTACTAATGAAGCTATATTGTATATTTGATGTGGTTGTATTGATTATTAGTATTTCTCTCTCTCTTTCAATTATCTGTCTGTCTATCTGTCTATCTATCTATCTGTCTGTCTGTCTGTCTGTCTATCATCCATCCATCCATCCATCCATCCATCCATCCATCCATCCATCCATCCATCCTACTATACCCAGTTACCCAGCTAATTTTTATGGCTAAAGAAGGCTTAGTGTCTCCTGGTTTCTATGAAAATATATTCCATGAATTGAGTATTTCTACTTCATTTATATGGACTCCAGAAGATGGTAGAGGACAGGAAGACCTGGAGGAACGTTGTCCATAGGGTCGCGATGGGTCGGACACGACTTCGCAATTAACAACAACAACAACAACTTCATTTATATGGTATTAACCTGTACTAAAAGTTAATAAAAAATAAAACAGAAAATGAAAAGGGATATAATTTTGATGAATATTAATATGTGGAAAAATGGAAAAATATGCCATTTTTTCAGACTCCTGTATTACAAGATTAACACAAGTTAATTAAGTTTTTTGTAAGCAAGTATTAGCAGTTAGTAGATTACCATCAATATCTATTCAGATAGTCTAGATTGAATTTAGATAGTTTTTATTGGCTGCTTTTATTGAGACAGACTTAATATCATGGCTTTATAAAATATGAGGTTAGTTATTCAGTTTGATGATACACTAGATTTCCAATATTTTAATATGGGAAAAATGTTTAGCTGCAGAAAGAAGATAATAAATCTAGATAGTCAATCTTTGCAGAATATAAATTAGGGTTAGCAAAGAATAATGCAAACAAGTTGATCTGCTTCTGAACTTCATTAGCAGCTTCATGACTATACACGTTTGAACTTTTGTCCTTTTGTGCTTTCTAACCTTACTCCCATTTGCAATTTACTGTGCTTTTATTACATAAGTTTAATATTCTCTCCTAAAACTGATACATTAGGTCTATGCATCATCAGATAGGTCTTTCAACATTAAGTACTGCAGAAGTCACAAATCTGGAAATGAATGAATTTAATTAAGATTTCCTAGTTCTTTGCTTAAATCATGTGCTGTGTATCATAATGTTTACATCCATGATCTACATCTATAAAATAATGCAACATATGGATTTTTTGACAATATGTTATGTTAATTGGGTATCTGAATATTAACAGCTCCAGTGGATTCAAAGCTTATTTAACATTTTACAAAATTTGGATAAGGATTGTTCTGTTGTGAATTGTTTTCTGGATAACTTGATTACTGTAAGGAGTTTAGATGGAAGAATACTATTCATGGCCTGGGACTTAAAGATAACATAATGTACAACTGCAAGAATTCCTATAAAAAACATCTATCTGCTGCCACATATTGATAAAAAAAATAGTTTTGACCATTGAACTATTACTAATGGTAGTATAACATTTTGCAAAATGCAAAATGGCAGAATAAAGCAATAAATTAAAAATGTGAAATGAAGCTAAGCAATAAAACCTGGGCAAAAATATTCAAAATTTAGAGTTAAGAATACTTTTATAATCCTAAATATAAATTGTAATTAATAATATGCAATTCAGATAGACATTGACTTATGGCCACAATTGGGATTGGAACTTTCATTGCTAAGGAATGCAGTAATTGAGTAAGTAGTGCCTGATTTTACAAAGTTTTTTTACCACAGCCATAAAGACAATCACCATGATTGTTAGGCATTTCACACAGTCTTTAAGCAAATCTGGGCTTAGCATTGACTTTGCTTTGAGGAAGCCCCCCCCCTCCCCGCCCCCAGGAAGGGCATAAATGTTGATCCTACAACTCTGGGCCAATGCAACCATTGTAAACAGTTGCTAAGTGTCAAAATTTTGATCATGTGACCATGGGCATGCTGCCACAATTAAATGCAAGCTTCATCGTAACTTCAAATGAATGGTAACGTAAATCAAGGACTACTTGTAATGCTAGTGAGACTCACGTTTGCAGTAAATATGAACGATTCAAACAGAACAGGAAAGCATAAGAATATATGAAAAACAAATACTAAATATCTGATTGCTTTTCCCCTTTACTGGAAGTAGGTTATGCAATAAGTGATGAAGGTAAATTAGCCATTAGAAATCTTAATATTAACTTCAATATACATTCATACAACTATAATTAAGAAATAATAATGACTTACTTGGTAGCAGAAATGTTGTAGGAATTGTAGGGACCAAAGTTGGTTCTGGATAAATACTTTTAGCACAGGCTCCATTTGAAAGTCCTATATCATCAAGGGCAATATCATTCCAATAATATCTTTTAAGGGCTTCAAAAGCAACCTAGAAACAAATGTTACAGAGTGAGCAAACCTACAGTATAATAAATGAATACTTTTATTATGGCCACTGACCAGAGTTGCAAACAAACACATTAAAATTAAAAATGAAGTAAAAACAAAACAAGATAAAATATTACAATTGGCGGTGGGTTCATCAATGGGTAATAAACGTCTGCCTCATTTTATAGGCAGTATAGCAAAATTTAGCCACATTCAAAGAAACTGAATCATATTGATCTGATAACAACTGTACAGGTGCTTCCCAGGTATTTTACCAGGTGACGAATTATAAGGTGAGCCCCTGGTTCTTTAAACTGGGAAAAATATAGCAGTATATGAGCTGTACTTTCAACAGCACTTTGTTCACAGGGCTACAATTGCAATTCATAGGGACATTTTAATACTGGCCTACCAAAACTGCTGGGGGGGATTGCAGTGAAGCTTGATAAGTTAGTGCTTTTTGGAATTTGGAAATAGTTATGTGGTATAAATTTCTTATTGGTTTGTAAAAAGAGGCTTGACTGATGAGAAAGGCACTTGCTTACTCTATTTTAAATTTAGTGATAAATCCAGAGACATTATTGGGAAGAAAATTGAGAGAGGAAATTTATTCATTAATCAAATTTATGTTACCTCCCATTTCACGAGAAGTAAATCCAATATCTTAGTTAGACATCTTTTATTTTTCCCAAGCATTTAAAAACATGTTAATCATTTATAGAAGTGATTGAAATAATATTAATATTATTAAGTAGCTTTTATTACTACTGTGCTATTGATGTTTATGCTGTTTTGGAATGCTTTTGCTATCAATAATCAATTCAATCGTACTATGAAATAGATTGACTCAATTCCCTTTTAACGATGGTTATTTTGTGTAATTTATTTTCTAGGAAAAAATATCCATTTAAATATGGTACATAGAAATATATTGCTTTTACCTATTTTTGTTTTTTTTTAATTCATTTTCTAACAACAACTGTACTAAAATCTGAAATATTAAGCCTAGAAAAATGCATAATAAGAAAGAATAATTCTTTATACTTATAACACGTTTTAAGAAAAGGCACTTAGTTCAGCCTGATAGTTTTTTTTTTTAAATCCAGCATCTTGCATGATTAATGATGTGGGGAATAGAAGGTGTACTGTATACATACATGCTATATTATCTGTAGATATCTAATATGTGAATATCTCCTACTTGTTGTTTCATTATCTGTAGGTTTGTCGAGGAATATAGACCTTGATCTTTGTATATTCGCTGATCAGGTTATTTTTTTTTCACTTTGTAAACATTTTGTGCTCTTATGTTGATTTATCATAACAGGTTTGGGACTCTTGTCAGCCATATATATATATTAAATACTCATCCTGGATGAGTTATGTGAAAAAGATTGAGACATTTAAGAAGTAAATTAGACAGCTAATCATTCTATAATTTTGCAGCTGTTAGAACAATGTTGGGATTCTGTTTATTTAGAATCTACATATTAAATGACAATGAAAATATGTATTAAGTTGGAATTAAGGTTTATAAAGAGAATGGACTATTAATATTGGATTATTATTTTATATGATTGGCAACTTCATTAACCTATAATAACTTTGTAAAATATGAATGCATATGTAAAATTGATGGCATTAATTAATATCAGAGCATTACAAACTTACTTTTATTAATGATTAAGGTAACAATAATTTATATCAAGTAATATGTTCCACTGAATTCAAAAAAGCTTATGTATGAGTTATGATGTTTTAGATTATATTTCTGAATGAAACCATTTCTGTCTTGCAATTTATAAAGTAAAAAAATCATGTATAGGCAACGTTTCCTTCCTTTCTCATTTTATTTTAATTATAACAAAGGCGTTTGGCATATTGTAAAACAGAATATCAACCTTTGTTGATATTTTAATTCTTTTATAAACAGACTTCTCAGCATTCATAGAAAATAAAGATGTTAGGTAATCAAAATTACTTGATCTATAAGAAAAATTATAAAAAGATCAAAGAAAGAGTAGAAGAAGGTTTGGGTTTGTGCCATCTTCTCAAATTGCCAAAATACATGTTTGCAACTGGTTCTTTGCACTCTGACCTCTATTATGTAGAAATATCTTGACATGGTTACAAAATTCTAATTATCTCTATTGGTCCAGAACATTTACCTTTCTGGTATTAATGTGAATAGCCATAAGTTACTAATTTTAGAATTGCTTTATAAGGAATTCTATTGCCCATAAACACATCTAATAAAAATTCAGATTCAGATATTGTTTGGAACTTTTTTTCCTTTGCTAACAATACTGTTACTAGAAATGTTGGGAAGATGAGATATGAGTTCTGAAAACATATGGGCTAACTCAATTGTTGAGTACACAGAAGATAAAGGAAAAAAATCCCCTGTAGTAGATTCTGATGATTTATCAGACACACTTGGACAATAATTTATAAACTACACATTCCCACACTTTCCCTTCCCTTTAGAAGCCAAGTTTGACAAGGCAAATATATTTATAATCAAGTGCTAGAAGTATTAGCTGGGAGTCTAAAATCCCTCTGTGAGATCAAAAAGCTGGGAGGGAGAGAAAAGCTTTATACTAAACATTATCGAATGCACATCAAATTAGTATCAGTTGTATATTTATTTCATTACTCTAGCTAATTACTCCACTTAGTTCTCAATTAGTGACATAATTACCAAAGGCAAAAGAAACATTCCAATAATAAATTTAGCTGCCCAAAAGACAGCATAATATATATGAATACCAACTGATCTTGTTATCTCAGTGCTATAATTGTGAATGTGTGTGTGTGTGTTTGGCTATGAATAATGAAAGAAGTAGAGAAACGATAACAAAATGAAGACAATCTTGATTACAAACTCTGCTGAACAAGAATATATTAACATACCTTAAATTTAGATGTTTCATTTAATGTTATTTGTCCATAATTCCAAATATTTCCATAATTTCCTTCTTTCTGGAAGATGATCTTTTCACTGTTATCATCATATATAATTTTAACATTTAGACGGTAAATTTTAATACCATACATGTAATACCTAAATTAAAAATAAATTCCATAAATTATGTAATATCTTATTAAATGAAATTTATACAGTGGACTATCAATTTAACTTCAGAAGAACATGCTCTGTCAGTAGTAGATGGAATTGGGGAAGAAATAGCTTTTATTTCTTAGGCACACATGATTTTTGTTCTAAATTACACCCAGTTTGGGGAAATGGTAGAACACTTAATGTCCTTTTAGATATAGGTCCATCCTGCTTTCCCTGACCAAACCAGAATCTTCCACCATTTATTTATTTAGTTAGTTGGTCAGACCTCTTCTTATTTCAGCTTCAGATGTTAGAAAGCTTTCTGCTCAGAAGTGTCTAATAGGGTTCCATAAACCCCATCTTCAAACAAATGAACTTTTGTTTACCTTGTCCCACAAGCATTTAAGATCCTTTCATAATGCAGAACTATAGCTACTACATGAGTCTATAGAAAATGTTCACACAATAAATTTATATGTCATTTTCTACAAGTAAAAAAGTTGTACATCTTGTTTTCTAAAAGTAAACAAGTTGCAGACAGAATGTGCTTGTTCAGTGTTCCATCCATTTATTTAGGCAAGGATACTTCCACAGAATTTTTCTATGGGCTTTCGATAAACTCATTATTCATTTTTTTTAAAAAAATTCTTTCTCCCCAAGCTTTTAAAGAATCACTATTTCTAAAAATCATAATAATTTTATTATATAAACAAAATATTTACTATACCAGAAGCTTAGGCAGTATGCATCTGAAATAGGGTCTAAGGGTAAACTAAATATTTCAATCCTCAGTTGTTCACTTGTACGATATGTTAATGTTAAAATATAGTAGCCTGAAAAAAAAATCAAAGTAAAAACATATAAGTGTAAATGCACTTAATGAGAGATTCAATATGGATGTCTGATTCTTGATGGGTTATGGAAGCATCCTGCTAATTTGGATATCAAATCAGTGATGGTGATGCTGCTGCTGATTTTATTTTTATCCCACCTCCTTTATATTTGGTCAGCTTATTTTTTAAATATACTGGTAACAAGAAGGAAAACAAATAAAGAGAGAAAGAAAGAAAGAAAGTATATGCATTGATAAATACACACAACACTTAAGTAATATCTTTATGAAGTACCACATTTTCCGGAAAATAAGACCCAGCCCCAAAATAAGCCCTAGCTTGATTTTTGGGGGTGGGCATAATATAAGCCCTACCCCCAAAATAAGCCCTAGTTTTGGGGTGAGGCGCATCCATAAAAATCAAGCTAGGGCAGGGATGAGGTGTTGGAGCTTACCATTGCAGCCAAGCCTCCCATGGATTGATTCTTGCCTTGCCACCCAGTTCTTCTGTGGCCGAAGGAGCAGTTTCATTCTGCAACTGAGAATGGAGTTAGGGCCTGCATTTCACAGTCATAAGAAGGCCTGTGCAGGCCTTCACTTTGTGGAAGGCCTGTGCAGCTGAGAACAGAGCTATCGATTCAATCCGTACCTTGGTTCTCGGGTGCATAGGCCTTCTGGAAAGGCCTCCGGTCTGCGAAATGCAGACTGGAGCTCCATTCTCAGCTGCAGAATGAAGCTGCTCCTTCAGCTGCAGAAAAAGTGGGCCAGCTGGGTGGGGCTGTCAGTGCTGTAAGTGAGTGGAAAAGACACCCCCTGAAAATAAGACCTTGTACCTTTTTTGGAGGCAAAAAAAGACTGAGTCTTATTTTCGGGGAAACACGGTACATGTTTGCCAAGATTTCTAGAAAAGCGACTTTATTTATAGTAAATGCCAATTTGAACCAGTTTTGCCAACGGAACTAATGGTGATTTTATTTTTATTTTTCTTATTTTTTTATTACTGTCAATTCATTGTTGTTCTTCTTTGAAATGGTTCCAATCCATAAATACCATAAGTATTTAGCCAAATTTGGATCCTGAATCATAATTTAATTCTCTGGTCTAGAGAAATGTGGTGCAATAGAAATAAAGTGAGGTAAAATCACAAATAGTAATGGAATTGAAATGCTGAATGGTCAAACCATAAGAAGCCATCGGGATGTAGTCTACAACCAGTGGTACGCATATCACCAGTGGTATGCGAGCACCTGGCTTATGGTATGTGTAGGATAGGTTGAAAAAAATGTAAAAAAATGTTAAAAAATGTAAAAAAAGGTGTAAAAGTGGATGAGGTGAAGCAGCAGCAGTGCCGCACAGGCTTTGTGGCAAAGTCAGCTGGAACTGCATGTTGCCCAGGATCAAAGCGTGCAGCTCCAGCTGATTGGCGGTGGCCTTGGGGCTAGCAGGCAGCCTCAAGCAGTCTTCAGTGGAGATTCCGTTGGAGCTGCGCAACGCATTGCCTGGGTACCCCTACCCCCACCCAGATGTCTTCACCTTCCCCAAGCGTTTTTTTTTAGTCACCTGCTTTCAGCAGCATTCCCTTTCTCCTGTTCTTCTCAGCCTTCATGTGTTTGTAAGACAAAAAGAAAAGTTCCATGAGATTTTCCAATTTCTCGAAAGAAGTTAGAAAGTTTCATGGAACTTTTTTTTCTTTTTTACCCACAAAAACATGTGAAGGCAGAGAAGCAAAAGGAGAAAGGGAGTGCAACTTAAAGCAGGTGAGTAAAAAAATGCTTGGGCGAGGCGAGGGCATCTGGGCAGGGGTGGGGGCACCAACCTTACTCTGCATGGTAGCGGGAGGGTTAACGGCGGGTGCAGAGGGCCCAGGAGGAGCTGTGTAAAGCAGGCAGAGGGGAGGCTGGGCAGATTGTGGGTGCCGGCAAGCGAGTGAGATGTGCAGGGGCGCAAATCAGCATGTGCTCAGAAACGCTGATCTCATGCTCCTGTTCATCTTACTTGCTTGCAGAAAGCTGTAAAGTTTACAGCATCGCCTTTTGGGAGGAGGGAATAAGAATGGGCAAGCAAGAATGGGTGGGATTGGCAGCTGTGCGTCGTCACTCCAATCACCATTAGAGGGCCTGTGGTGGCCCTCCTTGGCAAGGCCCCACCCGCTCTTCCTGCCACTTTCATGGCTACCCTCCGGTCGCTGGGCTCGGCTGTCATCTGGAAAGCAAGGCCCATTTTTGCCTGCAGGTCAGTGTAGTGATGGGGCTGGAGCCCAAAAAGTGCCCCTTTGCATCCAGGAGGGGCTGGAGCTGCTGCAGCTGCAACTCATTTTGGCTCGGCGCTGAGTAGCTTCCTGGGGTCCAGCCTGGTGCTGAGGCTGCATCGTGCCTATAAAAGAAATGCCCGGGGCTGTGTGTGGTTGCGGGCTGCAGCTGCAGCAATGAATGAGGCGCTTCCTCTCTTTCTTCTTTTTTCTGGCTGCAGCCACGCGCAACGCACCAGAGGGAGTCCGGTAGCCGTGGCTCTTTCCCTGCCCCAAGCGTTCCTCCGCTGCCTGTGCTCTCCTCCCCCTGCAGAAGAACAGCAGCTGTGCTGGGTTCCCGGCTGCACCGAGCGCAACCGCCACTCCTTTTCAGAGGAAGCAGCCAAGGAGAAGCAGTGGGCAGGAACCGTAGCAGCCACCATCACGCAGCCATCTGGCTCAATAACAATGGCGGTGGTGGCAGTGGCGGCCAAACTCCAATTGTCTCCTCCGGGCTGTTTTATGCCATCCCCACTCCCGTAGTGCTGGACAATGGGAGGGAGGGAGGGAAGGAAGGAAAGAAGGAAGGAAGGCACAATGGGAGGGAGAGAGGGAGGAAAGGAAGGTACCACTCCCCTCCACCAGAGACTCACAAATCCCCTCACATCCCTGCCTGCACCCCCCCACAGGTACCCCGCAACCTGAGTAATGAGCTGGCCACGCCACCCCTGGCCATTGAGTTTGTTGTCAAAAAGTTGCAAAAGGTGATCACATGACTCTGGGACACTGTGACTGTCATAAGTATGAATCAGTTGCCAAGCATCCAAATATAAATCACATGACCCTGAGGATGCTGCAACAGCATTAAGTGTGAAAAATGGTCATCATTTGCTTTTTTCAGTGCCATTGTAACTTCGAACGTTCATGAAGTGAATTGTTGTAAGTCAAGGACTACCTGTACTTTATCATTTTTTTCCTTTTTTTTTTGACACCTTGCTGGGCGACTGGTGGTACTCAGATATTGCCTTATCCTAAAAGTGGTACAATGGGTGAAAAGATTGAAAAGCCCTGGTCTACAAGAGTCTGGATATTTTACAGGTGGAATACATCAAGCATCATCAAGTTAAAACTATGATTAATAAAAATAACCATGCTGCAAAAGATGGATGGCCATACAAATCAAATCAAATGAAATAAATAGCTATTAATTAAATAATTAATGAATTTCTATACTGAATTTCTGTAAGAGACATCCATTTTTCTATTTCAGTCCATAGGTTCACCTGCCTAGCATGCGGTAGAAAAGAAATTATGTGGATAAATATGCATATAAAATATTCTGAGGGCCTGTTTTTTTCAATATATTATCATCACATCATAACTGTATTAGAGTACTAAGGCAAGAAAAAGCTACTTGGAGCCATCTTTATAGATTGAAGCCCTGAGTTTATTGGGGCTAATCCTCCAGATATGTGCACTGCTTTGATATGTTCAGTTTAAGCAAAAGAAATAGAATATAAAATATTTCTATTGTCTCCAAAATACATTAAAAATGAAAACCAACAACAACAATTGCTTTTGCACATAATATTTCTTACCTGATAAATTGCCAAAGGTATGATCAAAATCTGGGCCAGTTGTAGGAAAGACAGGGCCATCAGTTCTTTCCCATTCAGTGCGATCTTTTATATGTTGAATCCAATAACAAAACCCATCTTCAAAAGTACAATTGATTTTTTCATTGTCTTCAAACAAGGTTGGAGTAAAAATAATAAAGTAAACAAGCAGTGAAATTCTACAATGTATATTCTGATTATATCCAGAATCAAGGGATTACAGGATCATGAAAAGAAAAAAAAATCCTGATTATTATCATTTTGATAGTGTACACAAAATAATTTTACTTATGGTACTTTCTCTGTGAAAAGTCTCACTTTGAAATTAGTTTAAAAGAGATTTTGAAAAAAACAACCCACAATTACTTGGATATATAATGGAACACATATATGTATGAGGAACTGTTAGGTTTCCATATTCATGGCATTTAATGTAATAACTGCTACAGACAGAGTGCCAGCATTTAGTATTATTGTTACAGTGAGTTGGACATCCTTCTAAAGTAATGGCTGTTCCACATGAAACAGCCATGCACTCTGCCCTTGTAAGCTGCGCACAATGATATTTGTTTGTTTTATTTATTCACTTTTCTCATAGCCAGCACTGCTGGAAAAAGCCTTGTCTGCCGAAATAGAGTAGGCATCACAAGAACTATGATATCTCATAGCTGACTTTCCTCTCAAGAGGTCAAGATGATGCATTTTTATTCTTAAAGTAGCAACTCTGTGAGTTTGACGAACATTAATAACAGACCTAATTGCCCAATATATTACCTAATTGAAGGGAATTGATGCAGGACTCCAGTCTATCATATTGGTTTTTTTTTTGGTGATATTATCACCAACAAAGCATTTAATTAAGAAGAAAATTATAAAAAACAGATATGTCAGAATCCATATTCTAAGGGGACCCCTTTCTTGTCTTAAACTCAAACTATATTCTCTCTATACTTCTGGGTTCTGCCATGCTCCTGGAGGGGAGGGGGGAAAGCACTGTGGGCTGTTGCTTTATTGCTTTATTTTCCTCTGTCGCTACATTGTAACACTTTGCTGTTCCTGCATACTATCTCTCCCCTTGATGTCAGCTAGAGAAGGGGGGAGGAGAATGGAGTGTGCCTCCAGCAAATGGTTTATCTCCACACTCAGAAGGGAAGGTATGAAGAATCGACAAAACATCGCTGAAACCCTGAGACAGCCTGGCATTATCAACTCTTTCCCACAATGGACTTAACACCTGGGCATTGGCCATGTGAACTGAACGTGGGATGGGGTTTTGTTGGGACACTTTTAACCCATTGATCTGAGTGGGAAATCCTCAGATACTGTCTATTATGCCTGCTGTCAGCTTCTCCTAATAAATGTTCCTTTTGGAAGAAACTGCTTCCACGAGTTCTGCTTTCTTAGGATGAGGTTTTGAAGTGGGCCCTGACAAGATAGCAATAAGAAAGTGATGGTAGAGTCTCAGTGAGTAGTTGGATGGGATAAAAAAGGACCTGTTCCTTTGTCATTTTTAAATTACATAGTTGATCAGCTGTTGCACACAGAGGAAGCTGTATGCTATAATTATATTTTTCAAACAATAGTCATATCTCTATTGTGCTGTAGTGCTTAAATATAAATTACAGGCATACTTACTGGTTAGCTCACTTGCATTGAAAGCAGTGTAGGTTGCATTAAAACCATTAAGGTTTTTATTTAAATCTGTGACAAATTCAACAGTGGCTTTATCAGAAAAAATATAAATTGTCCCAGGGTTAGAACCTGAGGTTTCAGCTAAGAACAAAAAAACATAATGAAAAAAATCAGAATGGAATAATATTATACGTATTCAAGTAAAAGTGAGTCAATAGATTTTGTTTTGTGGAAAGCTGATACAAAACTATATTTATTTCAGAATATAAAAATCTTTTCATTAATGTTCATCCTTTTTAGTAACAATTTTAAATCAAGTGTATCTATACTTTCAGTAGGATTCTAGTCACAATAGTCAAGTGCAGCTAACTCGAACTTAAAGTAAACAAACCATTATATAAATATAAGTAAACTCTGTCATCTTCATACAAAAGATTGAGGCCTGATTATATCTACTGGTTTTTCATAGCTATCATTCCATGCAAAGAAAATGTTTCAGAAAGTGTGTGGGATGGATTTTGTCTATGAAGGTTTAGGCAGTGTGATGGACTACAGTGAAGTATCATTTTCCCAGGACAGAGGGAGCATATTCCAAGAAGGAGACAACACAGCCCAGTGGTGATTGGAGTCAGAGGAAGAGATTTAGGATAGTTACTCCCTAGAATTTCCCTAAGTATATCTGTTAGGATAAGAGTGGTATAGGTTTCATCTGGCAAGATTTTGTCCAGAGGGTGTGAGCAAATAAAGAATTGAAATTTGGTTGGCTTGTTCTATGCTGTTCTGTGCTGGGCCTGAGAAAATAGTAATTATTATTTCTCTTGAAATGTGTAAGCAAAAAAGAAAATATTAAAATCCCCCCCCCAAAAAAACCTCTGATGGTTCAAAACTTGCACTTGTCATATAGGGCAATAAAAACTGAATATATTTTCTCCTACACTCACCGGAATGAGTAAATACTAAAAGGCTCAGAATAGTATAAATGCATTACAAAACATGAATGTACCTCTGATTGATGATTATGTCCCATCAAATTAGCAATCACACAGATCTCCTTAAGGATGATCTGTCCAAACCTGGTGCTACACACCTTCCAATAGTACACTTTTATAATTAGTTTGATCTTCATGCTGATTATTCCACTCTATTTTCTTCTATGTTTTCCAGCATTATAAACTTTTCAGGAGAACTAGATTTTCATATACCGTAATGTGTCCATAATATAATAACATAAGCCTGGCCACTTATACTTTGAATAAGAACTCTGGATTGATCTTCAAATATTTGTTTTCTTGACTATTCATGATATTCTCAGACGTCTTCTCCAACACCAAATATTCTTTCTATCCTGCTCCTTCAAAGTCCATAAAATACTTATTTCTATTCAAATCATAGGGTTCATTTATTTTTAAAATTGAATTAAAAAGGCATCTTACCTCTTAATATCTTTGTTGGACCTATACCTTCATAAATACTTAAAAAATCACTATATTTTTGTGTCTCAAAAGAAGTGAAGTTTATTTTGATAGATAGGTGCTTCTCCATACTAAAAGAAAAACATCAGGAAATATGCCATATTAATTATTAGGAAATCATAGCTGTATTGCAGAGTTGAAATAATGTGAAGTGAAATTTTTGTTATCACTGGTTGTTTCTAGTTAGTAGGAAAAGTAGGGAAAACTCACTTTCTTGGAAAAAAAAATCTCTCCTGATAACCACCCTTTTCCAGCCTTATCTGAAAATGCTCCTGAAAGTCAGGATGCTCTGCTGAATAGAACAGGTTAAGAAACATGTCAACTTTTTTATTTTATATATATATATATATATGTATGTCTTTGGTTATTCGGGTTTTCTCCCGCGTAAAATTGGAAGTGTCTTGGCGACGTTTCGACGAAATCCCATTCGTCATCTTCAGGCTGGTGTTTTCAGCTTCGTGCTCCTCCTTTGATAGAGTCATAAATCATAGGCAACAACAGACTCGATCACCCCGGAGAGTATCTGCCACCCCGCTTAGTGGATGGCAGGAATCACGGACTGGTTCTCCGAATAGAATAGGAACTATTACAAGAAAAAAGGAGATTGATGCTGTCAAGGATACAGCAGGGGGGTGGTTAGAAAGACCGAGTGTGAAGGGAAGTCAGATAGTGCGAGTGCATGCAGGATGTCTGTAATAGGATCTCGGAATAGAGAGCAGGAACATGATGGTGATGGATGTCGAAAGGGTGAAGGGAGGAAGAGATCCATCTGTGCAGAAGGTTTCAAGGGAGAGGAGGGGGGAAGCAACTTGGTGATGATGATCACATGCTGGATTGTAGAAAGACCGTATGCCCTCTCAAGTCACAGATGCAGAGAGATGGGAAAATGAAAGCTAGTATGCATGTAGATGGGGGGAATGAGGACAAACTGAATAATTGTATAGCAATTGACACAGGTGCAGCGATTGGCCGGTTGGGACCTGTTACATGGTCCAGAAGTCGAGCGCAGGCACTGGCTTGTTTATAAATGTCTCTCCCATTGATTTGTTTGCACCCTTATGATGTTGGCAGGAGACAACGAAAGCTAGGTCTGCTTTTTAAAAAACTTTTAAATGTTTTATATTTAAACTTTTAACATTTTATAAAACTTTTAATGTTTTAACTCTTCCTGGTGCTCACGTTTTATATATATATGTATGTAATGGACAACGTTCCTCTAGGTCTTCCTGTCCTCTACCATCTTCTGGAGTCCATTTAAGTTCACACCTACTTGTTCTATCCCAGCCTATTGCCGTCCTTGTTAACTGCACAAGGACAAAACCCCTGCTACTACAATAGGCTGGAGACTTGCAAACAAAAACAAAAACCCCTTTTAATTTTGTTGACAAACCTGTCAAATACAGCAAACTCAAGTCCAAAAGAACACGATGAAAAGCAGACACGAAGTCACAAGAGAAGTCACAGACCAAGATTCCCAGACGCAGTTTTCAAATGGTTGCCTTCAGCAACCAGCACCACCCACATCTCCTCTCTTTATTTAGCAGTCCCAAGGTGGTGCCTCTCCTTGCCGTTTCTTCTTACTTTGGAGGTACCTCATTGACTTCTGTTGACTTACTCTTGCTAATTGACGCCGTCTGCGTGCGTCAATTAGCAAGTCCGTCAGTTGTGATTCTTCCAAGTCTGACTCATGCTCCTCACACAGCTGAGCTTCATCAGAAACACGACTGGAGGGCCCAACTGTGAGTCCTGTACTTCATTAGACCCTTCCTCTGGCTCTGATGGCCCTTCAAATGCCTCCTCCACCTCCTCCTCAGATTCCTCCGACTCAGCTGTTGGGAGCACAGGCTGGCACGGATTCACAACACTACTGCTTCAGTGACTCCATCCAGCCATCTCGTTCTCTGTCATTCCCTTCTTCTATTGCCCTCAATCTTTCCCAGCATTAGGCCCTTCTCCAGTGAGTCCTTCCTTCTCATTAGGTGGCCAAAGTATTTGAGTTTCAACTTCATGATCTGGCCTTCTAAAGAGCAGTCAGGGTTGATCTCTTCTAGGACTGACCGGTTTGAACGCCTTGCAGTCCAAGGGACTTGCAGGAGTGTTCTCCAGCACCATAGTTCAAAAGCCTTAATTCTTTGGCGCTCAGCCTCTCTCTCTCTCTCTCTCTCTCTCTCTCTCTCTATATATATATATATATATATATATATATATATATATAGAGAGAGAGAGAGAGAGAGAGAGAGAGAGGCTGAGCGCCAAAGAATTAAGCGCCACATACATATATATATATTCGCGTTTAAGAAAATTAAAAACGTGAACCCTGGGAATGTTCATGGTGAGAAATAAAATGATCACCAGGGTAATAAAACTATAAAATTTATTAAAAAGCGCCTAGCTTTCGCCGTCACCTGCCGGCATCCTCAGGGCTAGTGCGCCAGGGAGTGAGAGAGTCACTTTTATAGGAGTAGTAAAGTCTGCGCACGACTCCTCGACCTCGTCATCGGGCCTAAATAGGGTGACTGCGCACGATTGGTCTGTTCCTTTTTATTCATTTCAACTGCACGTTCATCCTCCTCCACCCTTCTTTCCCTCAATCTTGGGGTGGATGGGCAAATGTCTCTGTAATTACAATGGTCTCTATGTTTTAACCCTTCTCCCTCGGGGGTAGGTGGCAATACACATTTCGTGTTTATTTTGCAATCCTCCTTCGTTTCATTCTTCCTATGGTAAGTTTTTCTTTTGGTTTTGGTGTTTTTATTTCTTATATAGATGTCATCTGAGTGATCCTGTAAGTCCTTTCGAAGTAGTTGTAATACACTAATGGTCTGGGGCTGGGGGGAGAACCGTTCAGTCGCGGAGGGGGAGGGGGGTGGCGATTCTTCGATCACCCCCGCATCCGGCCATTTCATGCACGCCGCACCATAATCAGACAGTCCGGAGGGGGTAGCGGCGGAATCATGTCTTCGCTCTTCCAGATGATCTCACAGACCTCTCCTAAGTGGGTGCAGCTCGTCGATGGTCCGGAACTGGGGGATAAGCTGCTCGATCGTGGATGGAAGGGGGCGGCGGCTCCCCGGTCATCACTGCACATAGCCGTCCTGCACGTCTCCTACTGCGGGTAAACGGTCCGGGGGGGAGAGTAATGATGGAATCACGATCCATTTGATCCTCACAGTGTCCTTCCTCAGCTTGTCTCCTCTCTCTTGCGTCGTTGACGGCTGTGCGGGTCCTCCGGAGTTCTCTGGGGTACGCAAGCAGGGGGGGAAGCAATTCAGTCCCCTGAGTTCGTTCTCCTTCTCCAATGCCATTCGGAGATCCGTCTCCGATCATGCTCTGCGGTTCCCTCTCTCCCATATCAGTCGTCATGGTCTGACAGGGGGATCTCTCTTTTCTTTCAGAGATAGCCAATGCATTTTCTTCCATGTGCGGATGGATTGCCCAGCCCCAGACCATTAGTGTATTACAACTACCTCGAAAGGACTTACAGGATCACTCAGATGACATCTATATAAGAAATAAAAACACCAAAACCAAAAGAAAAACTTACCATAGGAAGAATGAAACGAAGGAGGATTGCAAAATAAACACGAAATGTGTATTGCCACCTACCCCCGAGGGAGAAGGGTTAAAACATAGAGACCATTGTAATTACAGAGACATTTGCCCATCCACCCCAAGACTGAGGGAAAGAAGGGTGGAGGAGGATGAACGTGCAGTTGAAATGAATAAAAAGGAACAGACCAATCGTGCGCAATCACCCTATTTATGCCCGATGACGAGGTCGAGGAGTCGTGCGCAGACTTTACTACTCCTATAAAAGTGACTCTCTCACTCCCTGGCGCACTAGCCCTGAGGATGCCGGCAGGTGACGGCGAAAGCTAGGCGCTTTTTAATAAATTTTATAGTTTTATTACCCTGGTGATCATTTTATTTCTCACTATATATATATATATATATATATATATATATATATATATATATATATGAAATAAAACAATCAGAGCACCAGGATAATATTAAAATAAAAACTGTTTAATATAAAAGCTAAAGCTGAGCCTTTCATCAGTCAGCACTACCAATATCATCAGAGCATAATGCAAGATTGCTGGGAGTCCTTTTTATGTTGCCGGGTGGCTCTGCGCTTGGCTCCTTGAACTAGTTACCAGTCCATCTATTCTCTCTACCTGGTTTGTTCTTAAACAGCCCACGTGGTGTGGTATACTCACGGATACCCATGGAGGAAGGCAGCGTCCCTGGTTGGAAGAACACACGCAGGAATGCAGTCACCAGAGATTACGCCGATAGGTGTCCGGATCCATTTAATACCCCCCTCCCCTGAATGTAAACAAGCACAGTTCAACCAAGGAAGGTCAGATAGACCCCGAAATAGAACTAGAAAAGATGACAGACGTGGGAGCAAGTGAGCAGAAACAATCGGCTCACGCTAGCAGACAGAGAGCGGTTGGATCCAGGAAAAAGAAAACAGCAACCTCGGAAAGCACCAATATAGTAAGAGACATGGGCCATTTAAGAACAAACCAGGTAGAGAGAATGGACGGACCGGTAACTAGGTCAAGGAGTTGAGCGCAGAGCCACCGGGCAGCATAAAAAGGACTCCCAGCAATCTTGCATTATGCTCTGATGATGTCGGTAGTGCTGACTGATGAAAGGCTCAGCTTTAGCTTTTATATTAAACAGTTTTTGTTTTAATATTATCCTATGGGATTAGTAGTGAGGTGGGGTCAGGATTTGGATTTGGATTAGGTTTGAGGTTAGGGTTGTGGGTTGGAGTAAGGGTTTTTTCAAATAGTATTCTCAATGTTTAGCAAACAGCATAATGTCTGGGTTCATGTGTTTTTAAAAAAGTAATAGTTAATTATCATAAACAATATGTTAATTAATTGCTCGATAGTCTTCTTTATAATATATATTCAAAGTTACATATCACATTCTTTTCTCTCTAACTTGTTTTTCTAGCTATTAATAAAAAATTATCCCATGTTCTAAAATACATTGAATCTTCTTTCTCTTTTATCTTTAAAGTCAATCTATCAATCTCTGCACACTCTAAAATTTTCTTAATTAATTCTTCAGTTGGTAAATTTTCATTTTTCCAATGTTGGGCAAATACAATTCTTGCTACAGTTAGTACATGTAGAATTAAATATATACAGTCTTTCTCATAATTTGCTCCTATTATTCCTAACAAAAATAATTCTGGCTTAAAGTCTGTTTGTTTTTTAGTCAGTTTCTCCAACCATGAATGTATTTTTAACCAAAATCTTTTTGCTTTAGGGCATGTCCATCAGATATGGTAAAAAGTACCTAGACTTTATTTGCATTTCCAACACTGTTTGAAGTATTTTTAAACATTTTTGCTAATCTCATTGGTGTCATATGCCAGCTGTTTTCTTTATATGCCACTGCTTTAGTTAATTTAACATTTCTTTCCCATAACCTTTGCCTGTTTTCTAATTCTATACTATATCCAAACTTGATATTGATGTCTGTGATACTTGGGCCAAACTTTCTTGTGGTTTAATTTGAATGGTGAATGATTATCATTCTCTAAACTTGGTTATATATGACTACTGCTTCTGGCTTTCCAATCAGAATATAATGTCATATCTACATACACTCCCCAATGGGACAGTCCTGTTTCCCCCAATTAACCAATAGTTTTGTGGGTTTGCTAAGGATTATTATATTCAGTGCAGCAATATAATATTTAGGAGGGATGGAAGCTTTTTATTTGAATATAATAATGGTTCCAAATCTGAAGAGTGGGGGTAGGAATAGTACCTCAAGCTGATGTAAATTTATATGAATTTCAGGGTGTGGTAAATGGTCTTCTATATAACATCTTTTTGTAATTTTCTAAGATCATAGATTTCTAATTACCGAAAGAACTATCTATGGTTATCTAATATAGAAGATGAAACAGATTTCTTATTTTCTTTGTTTAGGCTGTAAGTCTCTGTCTAAGAGAATTTGGAGAAATAGAAATATTTTACAACTTTAGGACTTTACCCCAGGGACCATAGGATTGAATGCAAATTATATTAATTATTAAACATGGCGGTTGCATTAAATTATAAACAGTGCTTATTTACACAGCTATATCATAGTCTCTGTTATATAAGCACAGTTATTTTTAAAGAGGCAAGCATGAAATCCAAAACAGAAAACTGTTTTAATTTTAGTTACTTATCTTCCCAAAAGATATGAAAAATATATGTTTGACCCCAATAATTTCAACTTGTCAGAGTCAGTCTGGAAAAAGCATCTAAGCATATTTCCATGTGATCTATAATTCTTCCTGTTCATTCCTACATAGTATTTATGCAGATGAGAAAATAATTCTAAAATTTTATCTGACAAGAAAGAAACACAATAAAACTGTTGGGAAATGCAATTTAGTAAAACACATTTGTTTCATAAAATGCCATTTGACCACAATACGTCAACTTTTTTATCAGTATATTAAAAAGAATAATATTATATGGTTCAGGAAGAAACACAAAATTAAACGAAGAAGCAATAATGTCATCATAAAAGTAATGCTCATACAAACAGCAATCATAAAAAAAATTCTGCTTCAGTTTCATCATGAAATACTGCTTTTTTGTTATTAACTTTTTCCAGAAGCAGATAATGACAATGTTGTGTGCAATTTGATATATTTGTATATATCACCATGTGAGAACTGCAAAATTACCCAAAAAATGCTTTCATTAATATCCATACAAGCAGGTGAACAGTTTCTTCACCTGATAAATTGGAATAGTTTCCTTTTTTTTTTTTTTACACATTTTAATATTTGGATCCAGAAACAAATGCAAATTGTAGTCTCAAGGCTATTAAAAGATATTCTGTTAAAATCTTCAGGTAAGTAGTTAATATGGACCAGATAGACAAACAGATAAAAACTGACCTCCAAGGTCCCTTCCAACTTTACTACTATTACTATTACTATTGACTGGGACCCCACACTGATATTAGCATTTTGTTCTTTGGTCCCATGTCATGTACTGTACATAGCAGTAGATATTATCTTTGCTGTTACTATTTTTTTCTACTTTTGTTATTTTTTTGCCCATAATCATTTGGATGTAGCTTAAAAATGAAAATGGCTCACATGAATTAGCTGGAAGAACTTTCAGATGACAGCCACTAGGATAGGGGTTTAAAATTATACCAGAGCATGGTTTGTTATGTTTTAAAATTAGATAGGCATCAAATATTAGGAAAACATGGATTTATGAGGGGTATTGTGATAAATATTGATTGGATTGCATAAATTGAACATGAAAATATTAATATAAGAGGAAAAGATCATTTCAGTTGCAGAAAGTATCCATTTTAGATGTAGAATGTTATGAAGTGCCTTACTTTATTATCCATCGGCAAACAAGATTTGAGCTATAGGGTTCTGGATAATGAATAGAATGGAAAGATCCGGATAAACCATCTAGAATGAATTTTCCATCACAGGGTGTAGCTGTAAATGGACGGTGATAAAAATGGTTTCAGCATATGATGAAAATAAAACAATCTAATTGTATTTTGTTTTTGATTAAGTAAAGCATTGGTAATCGTAAAAATATCTCCATTCAAAAAATAATGTCATTGATTAGAAAACAGAATTTAGGAGCTTTAATTTATTTTTATTATCTAGAGACAAATTCTGCATGGCTCACATGAAATTCTAATCTTAGAAAAACTATTTAAAAATACAATTAGTAAACAATAATAAATATCGTCATCATCAACAACAAAAAACACCACTCTAAAATAATACTTCAAAATAATACTTCAAACTACAAAGATTGCTCAAAGAGTTGAACCTTCTGAGCCAACATCTTTTTTTAATGCCTACTCTATACTTTAAAAAAATTAAAAAACCTGCTTAATAAAATTTGTTCAAATGTTCTACACAACTCTGGATTTTCAGAAAATGCTACTATTATTCATATTTCACTACAGTATGTACAGTATTTTGAAAGCTCAAATAAGATATTGAATAGTTGCTTAATTTTATGAAAGAAGGGCTTCTTGTGTTACTCATTGCCTATATTTTACCTGAGATGTTCACTGATTTACTGAAACTATTAAAATTATACCTTTCCTGTGGTATGTCCTTGAACTAATTAATTAATTTGTATTCCACCTTTATTATTATTACAAATAACTCAAGGTAGTAAACATATCCAACACATCTTCTTCTTCCTATTTTCCGCACAACAACAATCCTGTGGGGTGGGCTAAGCTGAGAGACAGTGCCTGGCTCAAAGTCACCAAGCTGGCTTTCATGGCTAAGGCAGGACTTGAAATCATGGTCTCCTGCTTTCTAGCTTTCTAACCACCAAACTGACTCCTGGCTTTATATCCCTATCATATACTGAGGTCTACTGACATATTATTTTGTGGGCTAAATACAGGGCTTTTTTTCCCATAGAAAGCCCAGAATGGAGTTCCGGCACCTTTTTGGGATGGAACCTTATAGAATAGGCAAGGCGGGTAGTAAGAAGTATGTGAGTTCCAGCAGCTTTTTTTTTTTTTTTTTAGAAAAAAAGCACTGGCTAAATATCAGTGCAGTACATTACTAATTACTACGTTACTAATATACACACATCCATTCTCTACATTATTTTGTATGCTTATAGAAGTGATTTTGTTATTTGGCTAATGGAAAAAAAGAAACACCGAAAAGCTGCAAAATATAATGCACTATAATTTTGCAAGTATCTTCTTTCTGCTCTTTGTGAATTGTCCATATAGAGGTCTTCTAATCTAGGCCCTTCAATTTTTTTCTATTTAAAGCTCTGAATATTATGAATAATAATATTAAATTGCATTCCAGTCATAAATCTCTTATCCTGTACTTTATGTACACTACGTAGTGTGAGAAAATGGAACTTAATATATTGACTACATACAATTATTATTGGAACCTCAGTATAAGGACATTAATATTAATTGAAGTGACCTTCTCTAAGTATAATAAGTTATTCTTGGTAGAAATGTTTGAGTTAATTTAACTAGAAAAAAATCAAGCTTGTAACTCATAGTTTTTACTTGTTAAATATTCAATGAGAATAATCAGCTAAATTTAATTTCTCAGTTAATGAATTTCATGACTGAAAAGCTGAAAAGAGGGACCTTTGTATCACTCTAAAATGTTTCTACAATTTGCATATATTCATTGCTGTTTCCTTGTTATTATCTACTTGATGATCAGTGAAGAAGGAACACTACTCCCTCTGCCTTTTGTTTGAATGCCTTTAAATGTCACCAATAAGGTGGTTAAATAAATATAGAGAACCGAAGACATTTTCAAATTTCGATAATTCTTTTGTTATACTAATATATTGAATCCTGAACTTTGAGATAACCTTAATTATAAGAAAATGATATTAAAAGTTTGAAAACACTGTTGTGTAAACAAAGTTAAATATCTGATGAACCTAGAGTAAAATATGATTATGACAAAAGTGAAAAATCCATTGCATATGCATGCACTCACACAACTACATTCTCTTTATAAAAATATTATGTTTTTCTCAGGAAATTTTTCATATCGAAAACTGCTTATATTCTCAGAGAGGGAGTGCAACCTGTCTTTTTTGCCAGATGGGAAAATGGAATTTTTCAAGTACTGTATAAGGGAAGTAAATAAAGGAAAAGTAATCAAAAACATACCATTCCATTAATAAGAAAGGAAGACTATGTATGGTCTTGCATGGAAGTACCTGTTTCCTTTTTATTGTATGGGTTTACATAGAAGAAGAGAGTATATTGACACTGGCTTCCAGTTATGTATAGTCTTCTGAAGGTTCAATTCAGATGGCTTTTTATAAGCATTTCACTTCATATAGAAGTGAACCATAGAAAACTTCCAGTTTTCTTGACAAGATTTCAGAAGTGGATTGCCATTAGGTGCTTCCTAAGGATAAGAGAGGTTGACTGGACCAATATCACCAATTGGCTTTATAGTTAAGGGAGGACTGGAACTCATGTTTATAGACTGGCACCCTAACCAAATTAGCTGTCATATAGTATTGACATCCACAATAAATTATCTATTAATATCCTTAGAAAAGAAAAAAATATTAATGGAAGTTTAAAGAATATATATCAGGAGATCTATCTATCTATCTATCTATCTATCTATCTATCTATCTATCTATCTATCTATCTATCTATCTATCTATCTATCTATCTGTCAGGAAAGCAAAACAAAACAAATCCCAGCCCTGCTCGACTTAATTTATTTTTATATTTTAAAAATTTAAATTTAAAAATTTCCTTTGGAAATTCAAAGACTAATTACAGAAGTTTAAATTCTTACCACATTTGTTTTCATCAGAGCCATCTGGGCAGTGTGGTATTCCATCACAAAATAATTCCTTTCTGATGCAGGTTATATCATCAGCACAAAGACCATCTAAAGGCAAACATTTACCTAACATATGTTTCAAAAAGAAAATAACATAGAATGCGTGGTTAATTTTAGCTTCCTGAAATAGAAACATTCTACCTGTAGAATATAATGAAGAAACTATCCAAAAAGTGTGTCATGTTCTAAACACAAATTTTCAGAAACAGTCAATTCAAAGGATTCCTTAAAATGTAATGAAAAATTCCATAATGCATTTATCTAAGAAAGTTCTCTTTCACATTGACATATACTGTACTCTGTGATGTGAATACGCAATGAAGATGGATGTAGTAAAGTAATACAGCTACTCATCTGAAATAAAAAAAATACAACTTTTGAAGAGGCTGTAGACTGGATTCTCTTTCTGCTGTTACAGTATTTAGCATCTGACAATAAAAATGCGCTTGCTTTTTAGTAGTTTTTTATTCAGATTTTTGCATTGCAGATGAATTATAAATGCACTCAATAAACTGATACAAAGGATAATAATATTAAATAATACCGGAGCTATTACTATGATTACAATAACTGTTTAGAATTTTTAGAAATAGATAAAATAGATGAACTATGCCTTTCTTTAATGGGATGTATTCTCATTATTTTGGAAACTTAATCCTGCTATTAATTGTGAGAAAGTCCAGCCTTGGTTAATTCCAGTGGCAAAAATTATCAAATTTCAGAACAATTTTTTTGCTGATGTTAACAGGGTTATTTCTTTTGTTTTCTTTATTTATTCTTTTGAAAACTAAACAACAATGCCATCTACTGGAGAAGGAAAATGAATCCATTGGCAATGTTTTCTTCAGTGACTGATTTTCTTTCCAAGACAGAGTCATACACATACACAAAGACACAAACACAGACCACACAGACCACATAGACACAGAGGAAGGGAGGGAGGGAGAGAGGGAAGGGGAGAAGGAGAAGGAGAAAGAGGAGGAGAGAGAGATTCAACAAACTCCTGTTGAAATGTAAATTTTAAAAATGAGGCTTATTTATCCAAATATTTATTAATTGTTATAGGTTCCAGTTACTAAAATAGATGGAAATCAATTCACTATTACAGAAAAAAGAGAAATGTTCTTGAATCCAGTATTTGAATGTTGTATAAAATAATTAATATAAACTATTTATAATTACAGGCAGAAATAGATAAGTAATAAACACAGATTATTTCTATTATGAAAAATAGATAGAAGGTCCTTAGTAAACTTAAAAAAAATAACTATGAATTTTTGAGTTGGAAAATTAAATAAAATACAATTTATTTATACATGTACCCAGAATTTTTAATGTGTTTTAATTTTTTTATCATGTCACAATCCATACATTAACTTAAATGAAATCAGAGCTGGTATTTAATGTGCTTAGGCCTGGAAAATGAAAGTTTCAAAAACAAAAATGAAAATGAAATGAAAATTTGTTTCGCAAAGCAATTTTATTCTGAAAAGTTGGGAAATATACCATTTCTAAGCTTTTTTATATATATCTAATAAAATCTGTATTTACTAACCAGGTGTTGTTGAAGGATTACTTGTAGTACTAGTTATTCCCAGTCCTGGAAAGTGAATAAACAACAAAACAAAGTTATTTTTTTTAAAGTAGTTTTTATTAATTAATAGAGTGAAAAGCTCCCCTATATAGTAATACATTCTATATTTACTAACCAGGTGTTGTTGTACTAAATATTTCCAAACCTGCAAAATAAATCAAACAAACAAAATGAAGAAAGAAGGATACTTTTCTCAAGGGTTTTTCACTAATTAATAAAACAATAATATATGTTGTATATTGACTAACCGGATGTTGTCAAAGAGCTGCTTGTAGTAAATATTCCCAGATCTGCCAAATGAACCAAACAGACTTAAAAAATAACATACAAATTTTGCTTTATATTTCTAAATTATTTTTTATTTATTATTGTCACTTTACACAATAATGCAAAAAAGTGAATGAATTTTGTTGGCCACTTTTTTTCTTATTTGTCATGCAAATAAATCTTGTTCTTACTAAATAGGTGTTACTAAAGGCTTACTTTAGTAATACAAATATTCCAAAATTAATGAAACAGAAAATAAAGGAAATGAACAGCTTTCCCTGCACAGTTTTTTCTAAATCAAATGTTCCAATCTGTTCAAAGCTAAATATAAAAATGTTTTATTGTTTGGTAGTGAGAAGTGATCATAATTTTGTCAGCTTCCTGACTTTTAATTCCTTCAATAGATTATATGTTATTACATCTTTGTATTGTTAAATTCCTAACAATAGTTAGAATTGAATCATGCACAGCACTTTCAGAATTTGGTCTTCTAAATTAAGTTAATAAAAAATTGGACATTTTTCTGTATCATCAACTAAAACATCTTCAGCCATGTGAAATAAACTGTTAAGAGAGCAATTCATATGTAGGAACCAACGACAGGTGAGGAAATTTATGCCAAATGCTGGATTTTTTAAATGGAGTTTTTCCAAGTAATTTCAATTTGGAGTTCAAGTTCTGAATATAAAGTATGCTACTTTAAATATTCCTACACAATGTAAGTTATAAAATAGATTTTCGGCCTAGTGCATGGCTTATACCAATTACAACAATAGGGAGAATATTTTTTTAGCTTAGGGTTGAAATGAGGGGTCCTTGGTGCTCTCTGAGCTTGCTTGTTTTCTTGCAGCAGTTTCATTACCCAAAATGATGATGTTACCTAGTTTGGGTAATGAAATGTCTGCAAGAAAACAAGCAAGCTCAGAGAGCACCAAGGACCCCTAATTACAAAACAGAAGAAATTTTGTATATATATTATGTACTAAATAAATTACCTCAGTGTTTCATAGTTATCAGATTCAGTGCTGAAAGCAGAACAGTAGATCCTGAATCTCAAATAACATTTGGATCAGAATTTTAAAGCTCAACACTATTTTTTTAAAATCTTTTTTTTAATGTAAACCCCTTTAATCCCATTTTGTTGAATATGAAGTCTCTCTCTCTCACTTCCAGATTCACTAGCCAATTCTCAATTTTGAAACTTGGCATAATTTTCATTTATCACTCAGTCTGCTTCTTGGTATTATTTTGTTAACATTTGTATATATGTGTATGTGCTCATATAGGTACATGCAGTTGTGTGCTTGTGATGATCATAAATATTTTAGAATGGTTAATTCTGAAAACAATAGAAAGTGTTGATATAAAACATACATACAGCATTGAAGATACCAGTATCGAAGCAAGAATCAGCAGAAAATATCTAATTAAATAACATTTTTCTATGTTTTAAAAAACGTGCATTACCTATTATTTCTATGCTGTTCACATCAATGGTCAAAGTCTGTAAGAGTTCACTTTTATTCTCCTTGATGCCATAGACCAATGCATTCTTTATCTTTACTTCAGACACCCATTGTACAAAGAAAAGTTTGAAGAATACAATTACACTACCATTTCTGGCCAAAGGAAAACAACAACAAAAATTAGTAAAAAAACCCCCCATAAATTAATTTATACTGAATAACAGATGAATAATCAGAATCTTGGCACTAAACTAGAATGATTCTTAATGGCTAAAAATTTCCTCCTTTACAGCATCATACACACCTAACTATATAACACTGAAATTGTTTGTAACAATTTAAAGGCAAAAAAGCTTAAAATATGCTTGCTTTCCACCCACTTTGATTAACTTGGAGAGCCAGTTTGAATATGGGGCCCAATGGACAAAGACATGTTTTAATACCATTCCAGAAGGCCAAAAGGATGAGAGTAGTCCTTACCTCTAATGGTAGAGTATTCCACCCATAGCAAGCCCCTTTTGGTGGAATGAGTGGGGCGGGCTAGTCCCATTGCGTAGAACACAGTGAGATAAATAGGACAATTGCTCATATCACTATAATAGATTCCTATTTTCTTAAAAATATTAATTTTAAAAAGATGGAATCAGACATCTGTCTTATATAGGTAGCAAATCATGTTTGCAGTGAGATAATGATATTAATAAATAGACTGATTAATATTGAAAATATTGTAAGTTCAAAGATTTGCTTAACCAGTCTAAGACCAATGAGGAAATTATGATTATAAGTAAAAATGTAAATTTAAAATCTAGATATAGATAAATTCACAGAACCCAGAATAATGATCAGTTATTGCTTGCCCTGTTTCCTGTATATATTCATAGAGATACTCAGTAAGGACAGTAATAAAGAAGTACAAATTACAAATAATTGTAGTATAGCAGTTGAAAGTAATTAACATGTAGTTTTTAAATTTAATTTTAAAATAATTTAAATTACAAATTTAAACTTGAACTTTAATTTTAAAAAATTTAAAATTTATGTTTATTGATAAATTTAGATAAATGGAGATTAGTAAAATCAATTTTCCTAAAGAACGTGTGGGGATTTAACATAAGGTAATTAGCTACCCAATATCTCACTTTTATTTTCATTGGAAAGACATTTTCTGAAGAAGTTGTTCCATGGAACTATAAAATAACTCTTTTTAATTATACTGCCACACTACAGAAATTCACAAGAGCACCAGGGAAATTAACTATGATATTCTTCAAGACTGTTATGTTAACATGCTATTTGTGACCCCATATGGTTGGACTCTCCTGGCTTATAGCTTTATCTTGACTATGTGGCATCATTTTAAGTGAAATTAATCTTTAAAAATATTATCCAGTTCAGCCAAGAAATAAAAAGGTCAAAGGATGCTATTTAAAATATGATTTATTGATTTTGCTAAAGAAGGTAATTGCCCTGAGATAAATTATTTACTCTCTTAGAGACTGAAAAATATAGTAAATCTTATCTTAGTTTCTCTCCTGTATACTATTGTTGATGTGACATAAAAAAGTTTCTTCTATCCTTTAACTCAGCGGTTCTCAACCTGTGGGTCGTGACCCCATTTGGGGTCGAATGATAATTTCATGGGGGTTGCCAAACAACGCAGTCTGGCATTTTCCCCCCCTTTCCTTAGCTGTGCTACTCCCTTTTATTCTATTGGCTTTTAAAAGCCAATAGAATAGACTCTCTTGAATAGAGTCTAATTCTATTGGCTTTCAAAAGCCAATAGGAATTGTCCAGGCTGTCTCTCCCCTGCTGAGCCCGCCAAAAGTTCCATTCTGCAAACGGTGCTGCAAGTTGTCTGCAGCGAAGGCGAGCTGTCTGGAAGTTTCCATCCCTCCCTGCTGAGCAACTACTAAAAATGTAAGTAAAAGAGGGCCAGGGGTGGGAGGTAGGAGGCCGGTGGGCGCAGGGAAGGTTGCTGGTGTGCATGGGGCCTGGCGGGTGCCTTACCTCCCTTGGGCTGGTGGCCCAGCCGGTGGTCGGCCTGCTCCGTCTCTGCCCCTTGCCAGCTACGCCTCGGCCGGCGCAGGGGGCAGCACCACGCATGAGTGGCGCTCCCGGGCAGGGAAAGTCCTCGACTTATGACTGGTTGGGTAGTCCTTGACTTACGACCGGTTGAGTAGTTCTCAACTTACGACCGGTTGGGGGTCACGGCATTAAAAAGGTTAAGAACCCTTGCTTTAACTGGAATATTGTCATTTTCCACAAATGAAGGGTCCTTAGTACTCTCTGAGCTTGGTCATTTTATTGCAGATTTAACATGTTGCAGATTATACAAACTAGCTAACATATCATCTAATGACCTATCCCCATTTCAACCTTGAGCTACAGATATTCTCCTTTAGTGATTTTCCATAATTTTTGTTTTTATCAATAGGAAATTTAGTTTGATTTTCTTATTGTCATTTATTCTCTATATCAATTTCTCTAGCAAGATCAGGACTGAGGATAATGTGTGACTATATAATTTTTTTGTAAAAAAACATTTGTTTTTGTTACAGAGCAAGTAACCTTTAATCTTTTAAAAACCTATATCAGCATTTTGTCACTGAGGTAGCCATGAGTAAGAGATGAATAATTATTTTAAGGTCAAAGGGAAGGTTACAGTATATTCAAATACTTTTCCTTTAATTTTTTAAATGTTTCATATAATGCTTCAGGCAATTATTTCTATGCTACCTTTCTGACTTAAGAATTTCCAATATGAAATCATATTGCACCAAAGAACATAGTAATGCATATCTTTTATAGAAAAATTGCATGGAAATGTTCTTTGAATTAAAAGGATACATGTTGTTCTGCAGAAAAAGCAATGAAATCAAAGGTCTACAAGTTGGGCAGGTTTGTTTTGCAATTAATTAAACAAGAACAGTTTAAGTATAAATATCGAACAGACATTCTATGGGTTCACATTTCACAGTTAAACCACAATTTCTTAACCCATGGTTTACTGATAAAATTACAAATAAGTTTGCACATTATGACTTTAAGCCAAACAAGCCATATTAATAGCAGACTATATTAGAGCTTAATTATAGCCCATATTACTTGTCACTTATATTAATCTGTTAATATAAATACACTCATAATACTTTACTCCTATGATTTACATTTGGAAAAGAACAAAATAGCATTGCTTCTTTGTTGGTTTGTTGTTTTTAGTATAATATTAGATGTTACTCAAACATATAATTAGGTGGGGGTTATTTGCATATACCAGCCTAAGTCCTAATGACCATGGCAGCTTAGTGCAATTTTCTGTATTAAAATAAACTTGATTTGCTCTGCATCAATGTTTTCACACTTAATAAAGCTAAAACTGAAACCTGAACTAAACCACACAGAATTATAATTATATGTCAAGTGTATGAGGGTACACTCCTTTTCTATTTTTATCATTTTTAAATATTATGTATGAAGAAAGATTGAGAAGTGAAAGATAAAAAACTCTACAAATTATACTGTGTTTTCCTGAAAGTAAGATCTACCCCCAAAATAAGCCCTAGTTTTGGGGCAAGGCACACACCTAAACATCAAGCCAGGGCATTATATATATGAGACATGGTCTTATTTTTGGGGAAATACGGTATGTAAAATATGATTTCTACTCTCATATTTAAAATAATGTTTAAAATAATGGATTTAGAGCATTATTACAATAATCCATCTGTTAATTGAAATGAGGAATATAAAACCAAGCTGAGGTTGTCTAACCTTAAAAGCTAAATAGCGGTTATGATTTGGACAAGTTTCCACCAGAAATGCCAGAATTCTGGGCTAGCCTGTGAATGAGAGTTTTGGAATATTGAAGTGGATATTGCTGTGGAGATGTTTTTCTCTGTATATCTTCATTCTTATTCAAGTTAAAGATTTCCCCTTTTTATTTAACTTTTTATTAATATAACATGATAGCTAATGTCGTGGAACTTGAGAATGATGATACTGGATGGTGAAAATTTAGCAAATACATACTTTCATTTTTATTAGAGCAAAACTTTTCCCCTCTTATTTAACATAGTATAGATAATATATTTTGACAGTTAAAACAACTGAACTTGAGAATGGTGGTTCTATATTTTAATAACATTAGGAAAAATATTAAAAAATTAGTAAAATTAATGATGAGGAAATGCATTGTATTTCTTAACAGATCTAATTAGGATATGAACTAAAGAAAATGATTCCTGGAGAAATTTATCCTCCATAGTTTTGTGACAGGTAAAAGAAATGGCTATGAACTGGGATAATCAGTTCTCTGTATGGAGGACCAAGCTGATCAGTTACTCTTTCTTTCACCTCTAGAATAGAAAGTAATAAAATATATTTTTATCAAATTGTACCAGACCAGTATGGTTATATGGGTAGTTCTCAATTTATGATCATTCATTTAATGACTGTTTGAAGCTAAAAATTGACTTATGAACAGTCCTCCCATTTATGGTCATTGCACAAAATTCATATGATCAAAATTTGGGTGCTTGCAATTGGCATGTATTTATGATAGTTGCAGAGTCCCAGGGTCTCATGATCACCTTTTATGACCTTTCCAGGGGCTTCTGACAAGCAAATTCAAAGGCAGAAGCTACATTCATTTAATGATGGCCTGATTTATTTAATGAGTCACTTGCTTTAGAGTGAGTTGTTTAACAACCATCGCAAAAAAGATCATAAAATCGGGTGCATCTTAATGACAGCATCACTTAGTGATGGAAGTTCCAGTCTCAATTGTACGTTGAGGTCTACCTGTATTACAATCCATAATTTGTAAATATGCTTCATCCAGGAGTAGATTACTTTGGGATGATAAATGAAAAGCAAAGGAACTTTCCCCCCACTTTTGATTTTTTTCATTCATTTCCATTTTCATTCAAGTTTACTACTACTCTTTCATTCATACCTGGAATAAGGAAATTTTATTCCAATTTCCCTATAGTGCATAGAATAGGATCTATACTGAGCATAAAACAACCATCCAGGAACTCTAAAATTGTAGCCTTAGAAGCAGATGAAGAAGAATAAACATGTTATAATTCTAGCATGAAAGATCCTAAGTTTCAGTAATATTTCAAACATATTAATTTTCATTAAAAATTAACTTACCTAAACTGCGTAACTTTACTTCCCTTATATTCATTTTGAAGTTCACTTTCATGTAACATATCATCTACCTAGATATACAAATATAAAAAATGTAAAACAAATGTGGAATATATTTTATATTTTTCTAATATAGAGAGAGAAAAAAGAAAAGAAAGCTGATCAGACAGACAGACAGAAAAAAGGGAATGTGGAACTACAGAAATAACCCAGTAAAAATAGTTTACCATTTGCTGGACATCAAAGGCAAGAATTTTGAAGTCTACTGATGATTTATTTTGCAAAGCAGGGCTGAACATTGCTCCTGATTTTATTGTAAATATTCCCATTGCTTCATGGTCTTTTGCTCCTGATTAAAAAAAGCATAGAAGTGAGAAAGCAAACTGTTTCTCTCATTTTGCTGTTGGTTTAGACTTTTTTTGTTGCATTTTTTCTATCTATGAATATTGATTCATGCAAGTAAAGATGGAATAAATATTCAATCGTATATATTTTCATTATAAATAGTTTTTATTCTACTTCTAGCACTGAAGTAATGCAAATGTGCTTTTCCAAACTTAGATAGAAACCAAAAGGATGCCCACTGCAAGATGTAACAGTTAAATGCAATGATGAGCCTTTAGAGAGGGTGAGAAAACCTGGGTCAGGGAAAATTCATTGAGTTAATAAACAATCATTGGAACAACTGAAAAAAAAAACATTTTTAAAAAAGCAGCAGAGCCTGGCTGGCCAGAATAAAATGGCTACACAGATTAATGATCAGCTACTGGAGGTGAGGGAGCTTGGCAAGTGCTGTATCCCCAATAAGAAAAGATTGGACAACTATTTTTCTGAAATGGTGTAGGTAGGATTTCCTGCCTGAGCAGTGGGTTGGACTAGAAGACCTCCAAGCTACCTTCAAACATTATTATTATTATTATTGTTGTTGTTGTTGTTGTTGTTGTTTAGATTCTTGCTAGAATAGAACTCCTATGCTTAGAAGGGCTTAAGACAACTTAGAACACAAAACAAATCAAAACATGGGAGCTGATGGAGAATGACATAATATTTTTCTGCACTCAGTAAAAAATGGACAGTCCATTTTGACAACAGGACAAGCAGAAACTCCAGGACTATCCTTAGTCCAGACAGAACATAAACAACAACTGAACTATTCGGTACTAATGATTCTACAGTTGAAAACCAGGATGTAGTTGTAGGAGAGTATGTATTTTTTGAAAAGCCAAGACTGCTGTTTTGAAGTTCACTTGGGTTTGATACAAATTGGGAAAGGTTAGATCTATGTTTCTGGAAAATAGTGTTGTGTTATCTTTTACAGATCTAAAGATATAGTCATCCAACCTTAGTCATATACTGAGCCCTATATTTATTGTAAGATAAAAGGCCTTCTTCTTATTAGTCTCCTTTATAATATAGTGCTGATGCATACATGATGTAAACAGAGTTATTAATTTACATTTTATCAATCTTGCTGTATTGTTTTATTTTCTTTAATGAATTACACAGACCATCTTGTAAAGATTACCTAAGAAGAGGCTTAGCAGTTGTTTTTAATTCAGACGAATAAAAACATAGAAAACTGATATAATACATATAAAAACATGTAGGTGGCTTTAGTCTGAAATCAATAGATTAAATTGCTGAAATACTACTGAGAGAACAATAATAGGCAGCCAATTTTATTTAGTATCAGGTATAATGTTAGGAAGCAAATACTTTCAGAGTATCAAAGATTAACATTTTTCTTGGGCACGAAACAGTTTTCTTATAAATTTGGAAAAAGACTCTTGCAGTTTAATATCGACTGGTATACAGTGACAATATTACAAAAACTGATAATTAGAGCATAGATTTAAAGTTTGTTTAAAATAAATTAAATATAGTATTCACTTCTCTGATATATATTAATAAATATCTCATCTATAAATATATCATGCTATTACAAGGTACAATTTGATAATTTTTGGAATTCTATAATTGTGACAGATGTGAAATTCAAGAGCAATACTTTTGTTCTGAATTTAATCTACCTTCTTTTTTTTCTATAGAACACTCTTATATATTAATGGGTTATTACCAAAACTATAGGAATCCACAATGGAATGGCGGCCAAGAAAAAGATTATTTATAAAGAGCCATATTCATTATAATAAATAAGCAATAAAGGTAAAGCCAGTGTAATTATGCTCAATTTATTATTTTTTCGTTTCCTAATCAGCTATATTTCCTAATCAGCGTATATCTTTATATTCATATTGTGTACTTTTATGTTATAATAATAATAATAATAATAATAATAATAATAATAATAATAATAATAATAATAATAAAGTTGGAAGGGACCTTGGAGGTCATCTAGTCTAAGCCCCTGATCAGGCAGGAAACCCTATACCATTTCAGACAAATGGCTGTCCAGTCTCTTCTTAAAGACTTCCAGTGTTTTCCACTTCTGGAGGCAGGTTGTTCCACTGGTTAATTGTTTTAACTTTCAGGAAGTTTTTCCTTAGTTCTAGGTTGCTTCTTTCCTTGATTAATTTCCATCCATTGCTTCTTGTCTGCCATCAGGCACTTTGGAAAATAGCTTGACTCCCTCTTCTTTGTGGCAGCCTGCTATCATGTCCCCCCTCATTCCCCCTCGTGTTAATATAAACAGTATATATATTCCTATGCAGTTTTCCAAATTTAAATAACTTTGCCCACAATTTTTCAATAGTATATATTTTACTTTATCCATTTAGGAAAAGTGCTCACTTTTCCAAAATGTATGACTGTTTTTACTTATTTGCTCCAGAAACTGCATCAGAAAATTTGAAAATGTTTGAGTTTCAAGAAATTATTGCATTTATGGGAAAAATTTTATTTTTATTGTCTTCATCAATTCTATCTCAGTAAGAAATTTTTGAAAAGGTATAATACAATAGAATAGAGATCTTATAAATCTCATAACCATATACTGTATCCATCCTATCATCTATTAATTGTCTGGACTTTGGGGTCAAGATTTGCTTTGTACTTTATTGTTAAAGTACAAAGAAAACAAAAGAAAAATACTTGATAGTGCCTTTTAGTTCATGGAGCCACTATGACAACAAGAAGAAAACAGATTGTTTGTGTATATTTTAAAATAATGTAACCATTTGAAACTCTGTATAACCTTGCCAACTAACTTTGAACAAAAATATACTTTTTAGAAGAAATAAAACAAAAGAACAGTGACCAGCAGCATAACATTGGGAAATGGTCACTCACAAAATAACTGAAGTGAAAGGAAGAACGTATGCAAACTTAACATTAAAATAAATAATATGCTACAATTCAATTCTGATGAAAAATTATGTTACTTCCTTAAGAATTTAACATCCATTAGGCCACCAGCTTTCACAACCAGGAGACAGAAGGTCTGGGAGCAGTGGAGTTCTTTTTATTTCTATTTTCATTTCATTCTACGTAACAATAACATTTAATTACATGATTTAGGTATAATAATTTTTCTCAATCATTTTAATGAAAGGAATTTACACAAAGATGTAAGTACCAAATCATTTTCACATAAACTTTGAATTGAGTCAGTTCCTTCCTAAACATATAGTTTAGAGTCTAAAGAATGCTTTAAGGGCAAACTGTCTGCTTTTAATATATATATATTTCAAAGAAGCAGTAGCCATTACAGTGTCAAAAAGAACGAGCAATTAAATACTGTATATCAACAGCAATTTAAGATTTTTAACAAAGAGCTAATTGCAAAGTTTGTAGTTTCTTACCTTGTTCAGTTGTCTCGTTGAACAGCCACAGAAATGTTAATAAAACAGTACAAATACATAGGGAGATTATAAATAGAACAGTGAGCAAAAGTTCATAGCTATTAAAAGGGATGTTTGTCTTCTTGAACATTTTTTTTGGATTCATTTTAGTCTGGGAACTGAAATTGTTGCCAGATCCCTGTAACTTTGAAAAGAAAAGTGATAATCCAGGCATAGATATATACATGAGATGATTCTAGTTAATTATTTATTTTTATATACTGCTGGACTCAGTGATTCAAGAGATTTATATCGTAAGACATAAAAAAGCCCCAAAAGGCTTTAATCATAATGCATTTAGTAATTTCATTTCTAGGTTCCGTCACATAGCAGACTTTATACTCAAAGGAAAAGTATTAATGATAGGAATACATAACTCCTGTTCAAAAGTTAATATTTTTCAAGATAACATATGTACATATTCAACACCCAGGGCTGTAAATGTTAATCTTCAACTTTGCATTATTTTTTTGATATATTACTAGTACAATTGCAATGATATTCCATGTTGTTACTTTAAGTTGTTTGGTTTATAATTACTTGCAAATTCTGGAAATTATGGATCAAATTATGCATCTGGCAAGATAATAATAATAATAATAATAATAATAATAATAATAATAATAATAATAATAATAATAATAATAATTTACATGGATGATCTGAAGCTGTATGGAAAAACATCATCTGAAATAGAATCGCTGCTCAACACTGTCCGTATATATAGCCAAGATATTGTAATGGAGTTTGGCTTGGACAAATGTGCTACACTTACTATCAAACAAGGAAAAATAGTGAAAACTGAAGGAATCAAGATGCCCCACGAAAATAACATTAAGAGTCTGGATGAGGAAGAGTACTACAAATACTTCGGTATCCTTCAAGCTGACAACATCAAGCACACTGAAGTCAAGAAAAAGATTAAAGGTGAATACATCAAGAGAGTGAAGAAGATCTTAAAGTCCAAACTCAATGGAGGAAATACCATAAAGGCAATCAACACCTGGGCAATTCCAGTCATTAGGTACACAGCTGGAATAGTGGACTGGACTCAAGCAGAACTAAAAGCAATGGATAGGAAGACCAGAAAAATAATGACAATGAATCATGCCCTTCATCCACACAGTGACATTGACAGACTTTATCTACCAAGGCAAATAGGTAGGCGTGGAATGCTACAAGTACATCAGATGGTTGAAGAAGAAAAAATGGCTTTGGAAGAATATCTGAAGAACAATGATGAAGATGCACTGAAATTAGTATATAGGAAGGCTTACTAACTACTGGAGAGACCAAACTGGCCTTCAAGAAAGACCAAATGAAGAACGGAATAGAGGCATGGGAAGACAAAGCACTACATGGCCGATACATGAAAAAAATAGCTGGGAAAGCAGATAACAATAAAACCTGGCAATGGCTAAGAGCAGGAAAATTGAAGAAAGAGACCGAGGGACTAATTCTGGCTGCACAAGACCAAGCCTTAAGGAAAAATGCATATAAAGTCAAAATTGAGAAGACAGCAACAGACAGTAAGTGCCGCCTATGCAAAGAAGCTGAAGAAACAGTGGACCACCTGGTAAGCTGTTGCAAGAAGATTGCACAGACTGACTACAAGCAGCGGCATGACAAAGTAGCAACAATGTTGCATTGGAAGATCTGCAAAAAATACCATTTGCTTGTAAGTGAAAACTGGTGGGATCATAAAATAGAGAAAGTCATAGAAAATGATAAAATTAAACTGCTCTGGGACTTCAGAATTCAAACAGGCAAGCACCTGCAACATAACACCCCAGACTTAACAATTGTCGATAAGAAAGACAAAAAAGTCTGGATAGTGGACGTGGCAGTGCCTGGAGACAGCAGAATAGACGAGAAAGAAGTGGAGAAGATAAAATACAAAGACCTACAAATAGAAATAGAAAGACTGTGGCAAAAGCAAGCAAGGGTAGTACCAATAGTAATAGGCTCCTTGGGTGCAATCCCAAAACAACTGGAGCACCACTTGAACACCATTGGCCTTGACAAATTCGCTATTAGTCAATTGCAAAAGACGGCCTTACTAGGAACTGCTTCCATCCTGCGACGATATCTGTAATATCATTAAACATCCACATCTGCCTATCCAAGGTCCTGGGTAAGGACTAGATAGGTAGACAAAATGCCAAATTCAGTCTGAACATCTGGCTGATTGTGTGATGATCCATAATAACAACAACAACAACAACAACTACAATATGAGGTCATCTAGTCCAACCCCCTGCTCAGGCAGGAAACCCTATACCATTTCAGACAAATGGCTGTCCAGTTTCTTCTTAAAAACTTTCAGTGTTGGAGCATTCACTGTTTCTGGAGGTAGATTGTTCCACTGGTTAATTGTTCTAACTGTCAGGAAGTTTCTCCTTAGTTCTAGGTTGCTTTTCTCCTTGATTAGTTTCTATCCATTGCTTCTTGTCCTGCCTTCAGGTGCTTTGGAGAATAGCTTGACTCCCTCTTCTTTGTGGCAGCCCCTGAGATACTGGAACACTGCTATTATGTCCTCTCTCGTCCTTCTCTTCATTAAACTAGACCAGGGGTCAGCAATTTGAAACACTGAAAAAGCCACTTGGACCCGTTTCTCTCACAAAAGAAAAAACTGGGAGCTGCAAAAGGTATGTGCTCATGCCCCTGTCCAGCTCTGGTATGGATGGCTCTGCTATCCTGGCTTCTCCTCTTCTTGGAAAAGATTTTCCCCTCCCCTCCCCACACTCTCCCTCTCTGGGACTTTCTTCTTTCTGCCTTTTGGTGTGAAGGTCCCGAGGGAGCAGAGGAAGAGGCCGACAAGGAGAAGGAGCTGCTGTGACAAATCTTCCGAGGCAGCAGCAGATGGCCACTTGGGCTTGCCTATCTCAGCCTGCTGTGGGAGGCTGGAATTGAGGCTTCTGGCTTGCTCTGGGAGGGATGCTCCATTCCTCCTCTTTGGCTGACGGATGGAGGAAAAACCAGCCGGAATCCACAGATCCAGAACTGGTGGTGGGAAAGGAGGGAGATGAAGAGGAGTTTGCAATCTCAACCGACTGGTTTCTGGAAGGGGTGCTTGGAAAAGAGAAGCAGAAAGTGGGAGAAAGGACGTCTTCCAGCTCTCTGGGGTTCTTTCACTGGGAGGATAAGGAAGCAGCAGTTCTGCTCTGTAGGAGGTAGGAGCAGGCGGCCTCTCCTTCAAGCTTCACCAAGTGACTCCGGGAGTGAGCAAGGTCCGAATCCCTGGAATGTCAACTTTGTGAAAGAGGGAGAGATATAGGCAGATGCCTATATCAGAGGGTGAGCAAGAAAGGCAAGATTGGGGAGAGGAAGAAAGCTTTCGGGGCTTGCCCAGCAGGCAGCTGCTCCCCGCTCTCAGAAATCACCGCAGCAGGAGTGGAAAGAAGCAGGGGAGTGCCTCTCTCCCCAGTCTGCCAAGCAAATGAAAGAAAAGTTGAATGCAGTGGCTGGCAAGCAGGGACAATGAGGAGCAGCCAGGATTGGAGGTGCAGAAGTCAACACTGCCAAAGAGGAGGAAGGAAAGAAAAGTGGGGATCTTTAAATAGTCACGCCTACTTCTCCCCCTTTTCCCTTATTTTTTGCAATGACTGGTTGCAGACATCCACATGTGTATGCTTGTCAGGTTTGGAAGCCTCCGTTTAAGTCTGTGCGTGTGCATAGATATAGGCTGACTTAGTAGTGAAAACACTGCTGGTAGATCTTCAAATGAGGTTTTGAATGAGGTCAGGTATCTTCCAGGTGCTACTGCCAGTAGGGACAAGAAGCGTATTTGTAAAATAATCAAGAATGCCAGTAAAGACTGTGATGTGGAGGCTATTGTACATCTTGGCACTAATGATCTGTCCCAAAAAGATGTACTCACTGTGCAGAATGATTTCCAGAGCCTGGAGCAGGAACTTAGCAGAATAGGCTGTAGGCCAGCGGTTCCCATTTGGGGTCGATCGACCACTTTTCGGGGGTCGCCAAAAGCGGCGATCTGCCATTTTGTCCCCTCCGGGGGCGCTGCCACGCATGCGCGCCACGCATGGGGCAGCGGCGCGCCCCCGGGGCACCACCGCACATGCGTGCTGCACATGGGGGCGCCACTGTGCATGCGGGCCATGCATGGGGCGCCGCCGCGCATGGGGGTGCCACCGCGCCACGCATGCGCATAACGTTTGTGTGACAGGGGTCGCCGTCACACAAACGTTGAGAACCGCTGCTGTAGGCTTATTTTTTTCAGAGGTCTTACCAGTGTATAAGGCCCAAAATGGAAAAGGCCAGTGTATAGCACAATTCAATATGTAGCTAAAGGAATGGAGTAAAGGGGAAGGCTTTGGATATATAGGTCACGATGTCAGCAGCTGGTCCATTGAAAAAATGTATAAAAGAGATGGTTTGCATACATCAAAGAAAGGGACTGCATTACTTGGCTATAAATTTACAGATTTTCTGGAGGAATATTTAAACTAAACAACGGGGACAGTGAGCTAACTGAAACAGAACATCCCTGTCCCTTCCAATCTAAAAATTATAGGGCTATCAGTGCATGTAACATAGATGTATGTGTGAACAAGAACATCAACCTTGCTGTCAAGCAAAATCAGGCTCTTAATAGCGAGTGCCACACAAAGTGCACTAACCAAATAGGTAGTAAGCCATTAGGGAAACCCAGACACCACACAGGTTATGTAGGAAGTAAACACAGGGTCGGTCATAAAGGACTCAAATGTCTATACACAAATGCACAAAGTATGAACAGCAAACAGGGTGAACTAGAAATTCAGGTTAATGAGGGCAGATATGATATTGTTGCCATTACGGAAACATGGTGGGATAAAACCCACAAATGGAAAAGACAGCTAGAGGGATTTAAATTATTTAAAAGAAACAGACCAAATAAAAGAGAAGGTGGAGTTGCTCTCTATATAAGAAATAACTACATCTCTACAGAAATAGAGCACAACAATGATGAAAACTGTCTTGAATGCATATGGGTCAATATAAAAAAAAAGGGGGGGGGGGGAAACGACATTGCCATAGGTGTATACTATAGGCCACCCAACCAAATACAGGAAATAGATGAACTTTTCACTATTCAGCTAACTAAGGTATGTAGGAAGCACATCACAATAGTAATGGGGAACTTTAACTATCCTGACATCAACTGG